TAGAAATGGAGAAATTTTACAGGAAGATTAATTTAATATATTTTACACAAAAACTTTCAGAAGATTTTATAGAAATTTGCTCGCTTTCTGGCATTTAATCGAAGCTTTTTTATTTTTTAACACGAAGAACAGTTCATCATAATCATATATCAATAGTGGTTGGAGATTGATATATACTCCCAAAATAGGCTCGAATCCATTTATTTTACGAGTGTATAGCCTTGGAGAGAGTAATGATGGATGGATGCGGCTAGTAAATTTCTCATGAATGGACACGACAGTAATAAATTTTTCAGGTATCTCGAAAGTAAAATACACCCAAAAGATGCTGAAATATAGTAAACAAAAAAATTATTTATCAAAACTGAGGAGATTTGGTCACGCTGAACAGGTCAATTTATTGCTGAAAGAGTCATTTATTAGGGATATTTAATGCTGAAGAGGTCAAGTTACGTGTATTTAATGATGAAGAGGTTGCGTTATGAAAGGTATTTAAAGGTGTAAAGGGTCGAGTTACGTATATTTGATGCTGGAAAGGTCAAGCTTTTAAGGGTATTTAATGCTAAAAAGATCGAGCTATGTATGTTTAATGCTGTAAAGGTCAAGTTAGTAAGGGTATTTAAAGGTATAAAGGGTCAAGTTACGTATATTTGATGCTGGAAAGGTCAAATTATTAAGGATATTTAAAGCTAAAAAGGTCAAAGTTAAGTATATTTGATATTAGAAGAGCTGAAGAATATTCAATGCTGAAAAGGTTAAGTAGGTTAAGCTTTTAAGGGTATTTAATGCTAAAAAGGTCGAGCTATGTATGTTTAATGCTGTAAAGGTCAAGTTAGTAAGGGTATTTAAAAGTATAAAGGGTCGAGTTACGTATATTTGATGCTGGAAAGGTCAAATTATTAAGGATATTTAAAGCTAAAAAGGTCAAAGTTAAGTATATTTGATATTAGAAGAGCTGAAGAATATTCAATGCTGAAAAGGTTAAGTAGGTTAAGCTTATTAAGCACAGTAATGCTGAAGAGGTCAAATTATTAAGTGTAATTAATGTTGAAAAGGTCAATTTATTAAATATATTTAATTGGAAAGATCAAGTTAAGTACGTTTAATGCTAGAAAGGTTAAGTACAGTAAAGCTGAATAACTCGACTTTATTAAGTAGAGCGTTGAAAAGGTTAAATAATTAAGAAATTAATTAAAATCAAAATTTTTGAGTAAAACTCTAGAAAATTGATTGGAGAAGGAATTGATGTTTGATTACAAAAAAAAACCTTACATCAGACGAATTATTTGCTGGTCAAAAGAGTAGAATAGGAGAAAAAGATGTTATCATCGCAACAACTGATAGGAAGTGTTAGAGATAAGAACAAGCAAACTCTAACTAAAAATTAGATTTATTTGTCTTGTCACTTCACCCTGGTGAAGCCATAATTATTATTTATGTTTAACACTACATAAGTTAATTAGTAAAAATTTAATTAGCTTAAAAAAAACGCGAAGAAAATCGAAGATAGGCAGCGATCTATTGTTGAAAGTGTACGAGAAAACTCTCAATAGAAAAAAAAAGGAAAAAAACAGTAAGAAAAGTATAAAGGGGATGGTAAGAATTGATGACAAGAAGAGAGGAATTCTGACAAATGCGTGACTAGAAGAAAACACGCAGCCATGGGTAATAACACATCGAAGAAGTTGATGATAAAGTAACAAAAAAAAAGGGGGAAGAAACAGAAAAGCGTTGAAATGGGAAAGAAAGAGATGGATGTAAACGATACAGAGGACTGGAAACAAAGAAGAAAGAAATTGAAATATCAATAAAAGAATTAAACAAAAGAATAATTGATGAAATCCCAATTGTACCGTTGGAAGATGCGGAGGCAAATGAAGACAAATGATTGTATGAAGTCAATTAATCTATTATACAAAAGAATGGTTACTTATGTAAATATCGATAATTTACATTTTAAAAAGAAGAGATATAAAGTTTTAAAACAGGAACACGTCTTTTTTTAAAATACATTTTCGATTTTGTTCAGCTAGTTTTGAATGCTAGCTTTAGATGGAGAGATTTCGGGGGAAGTAATTAGTGAGGCTTACATTTTTAAATTTTCTAAGGAAATTTGAAAATGTGGGCCGCTTCTGAGGCCCGAAAAATTGATCCAGAATGCCAGGATTCGATATCTTTCGACAGCCATAATCTGAAAGGGTATAAGAAATTTTCACGAGTTTATAGCTAAATATTTTATATATAAAACTCGTATTATATTAAGTGCAGGGATGTGAGAAAATTGAAAAATATTATCAGTATTATTACGATTTAATCTTAATAATATAGCGGGATTTAGTATTGTTAGAAAGGCTTACGGAAAAGGGAATGACACTAAAAATATTGATATAATAATAATATATAGGCCTATATATATATATATAAAGGGAATAAAATAGAGTAATAACAAGAAATTTGAAACACAAAACGGTAAGAAGAAGAAAAGTTTTATATAAAAGAAAGAATGAATCGACATATAGAAAAGATTTATTAAATGTTTTGTGTAGAAAATAGCTTCAATAGCTCAGATATATTGACCTTAAGAAAAGAATACGAACTATTGAAGAATTGTACTTCTAAGATGGGTTTTTGGAAAATAAGATGGATGGACAAATATAAAAATAAAGATATTTTGAAAAAGACGAATAAAAAATAATAAAAATAAAAATAAAATTCTAACAGATATCGTGGAAAGAAGAAGAATTACTTGGAATCATCCCATGGAGAAGTGTTGAAGAGCAATGATCGAAGATGAAACAAAATGGAAATAACTTGTATATTATTTGAATTTATAGATAAAAATATGCTTTAAAGCCTATTTTTACCCAGGCGAATTTAAATTAGGAGGACCCACGTATAGTTTTGACTTCGGACATTTTTCTTCTAAAGAATTTTTTGGGGGAAGTGTTTGCTTATAAAAGATTGGTTTGAGAGCCCCACCAACAGAGACAATTGCATTTTTTTTTCTTTTTTTACCGTAAGATAACGTGCCACAGATGTAAAAATATACATTATACGTTTTATTTATACATAAACATATATGTGTCTACGCTTTATATACCACAATGCCTTAAACTTTGCCATAAACTATGCCTTAAATTTTCTTATGCATCTTTATGCTATTTCTCTGAAAAGATGGCTTAAAACCCACGTTAAAACCTGTGTAAACCGGAATCGCACGGTATGGAATATTGTTCCAGTTTGACAGGTTACCATTTCGAACAGGTCTTTTATTAACATAGAAAATCGCTCTGTTGAAAAGACTTATTCCGTTTTGGCAGGTTTCCTTTTTATTCGGGTTCCGTTTTGGACAGGTTTTAATGCAGTAACATAAATTGTTCTTGTAACCAATTTACTTCACTGATTAGAAATGTAATTAAAAACAATACTAAACAAAAACAATCAGTGGAGCGTTATACCTTTACGGGGCTCAGGTAAATTTTAATTAGGAAGCCCCAGTATAGTGTTGACTCTAGAGACATATTTCTTCGAGAGAGTTTTTTAAGAGGAAATATTTTCTTATAAAAGATTAGTTTGGGGGACCATTTTCGGTAGGGCCTCAGTCAATTTCTCCTCTTTTTGTTTTCCTCATAGGATAATGCGCCACTGAAGAATTGACTTAATCTTAAGCTATAACGTACCAGAGAGATTCTTCCACTCCATCAAATAATAATAAATTTTAAAAGTATAAGGCCCTAAATTGTAGCTCTTTATCTGTGTAGTCGTAAATTTGATCCTGATTTTCGAGGGATTTCGTGTTTTGTCTTGTTATTTTCAAGCACGTTTGAAGGGGGAGAAACTTCTAAACTTCTGAAGTACCCTCTTCTGAATTGTTTTATTGCCTCGAAAGAAAGAAAGTAAAAAAAAAAAAGAATTCTTGTTTCTGCTGATCTAACTGAATATTCACCTCTGCAAAACCCTTTGTACGACCTTCGATCGGGGGAACGTTTAAATATAATTTAGTTGCCATAGTTACGAGATAATCTTTATAAATGTTTTAAGCAAAAATTAATAAAAGTAGATTTATAATTATTTATAACAAGACGAATTATATTAAATAAATTAAAAATTTATATTGAAAACTAAAGTTTAATCCCTGTAAAGGCCCCCTTATAATTTGTTTCTGTCAGTCACGCTCTGTATCTCTTTAGCAAGTATTTATTAAACGATAATGGGGGGTGAAATATTTTATTCTATACTTTATGATTATGCCTTACTTTTAACGTGTTTTTTTTTTTTTTTTGTTTAAATTTGAGCCTGTTTTAAAGAAATATAAGCCTATTCTGGACTGTGTTAATCATTTTTGAGGCCCCAAACTTAATTTCTTCATAATTATACAGAACAAAACTATTAGTAATCGGGCGTGAGATAAGGCCCCTTAAGAAGAGGTGGCCCTCATTTACGATTAGGTATGTCCATGCGTTAAAGCAACCGTAATTATACTGTTATACAAAATTGTATATACTTTGAAATTATTTGAGACAATTAAAATGTAGAGAACACAGAGGGTGTGTGTGTCATGTGCACCCCGTAGAGCCCCGCCCTTAGAGGGGTTTTAGAGGGTCTTGAGAAGGCTCCTTATTTGTATTATTCCCTGTCTCCTGCAAAACAAATTTGTATGTTTATACATACACAGAGTGATCAAGATTACAAGCGATAGAGCTAAGCAGTGCCATAACTAGACAGTTGGCAACAGATACGAAAGGCATAATGACTAAGTGGGCCCTAAAATGGATATGGAGTAAGGGTTAAGGCACTAAGGAGACAGGAATTAAGGTGTCTAAGAATAAAAACTTTTACACAGGACAGTTTAAAAGCTAGTTAATGATGACAAGTGTACAGTGAACTTTTGATCACTCTGTCTATGTTAAACGAATGATTTTCGAGAATAATATGAAATACTAATATTTATTCGGTATTCTAAATTAATTATTATATTTAATAATTTACATATATACAAGAAAATTAGGTGATAAGATGCTCTGTTTGTCGGGTCATGTCTGAAAGGTGAGAAAGAATGAGAAGTTCGATCGCCTCCATTGAACTGTTAAACGTGCTGAAGTAAAAAGGGTGTAGGCCGTTCTTTTGTCTTATAAAAGCTGATTTAATAGCACATAAAAACTATTTTACGTCTCAAACTTCGAGTCGTTACACCTAAAAATGAGGATCTCTTTTATATCTGCATTATTATTTATCTTCATCCATGGCACATCAGCTGCAAGAAAATTCATTCCAGATAATAATAATAAACTGATATATCAGGAATCTCTCGGTGAGTATTAGCTGAAAGGGTCATAAAATATATTTTAACACGGAATAATGTTTATTAATTGTTATATAGATTATCCTGATTACATATTTAACAAGACGAGAAGCCATTCTTATGGATACGAAGTGGATCAGAAGGATAGACGTAAGGGCAATCGTGACAATTATCCATCTGCTAGTGGTTATAATGATGCTTCGACTTGGCAAAGTTATGGTAACAATTATGGTGGAGGTGGTGAAGGATTTAGCATGTTGGGAGGCGGTAAAGGAGGAGGAGGAGGGTTCGGTTTGGGCAGTGGTAAAGGTAAACAAGGTGCTAAAGCCCTGTTGGCAGTAGTTATACCTTTAGCACTTTTGGCGGTGCTCGGCCCTTTAATGGCCAGCCAGGTGATGTTACCTTTGGCTGTGGCTAGCACGTCACTTCCTGGAACCCTCCCAACAGGAAGACGAAGGAGAGCATTGAGATTTTTTGCAAGGGATGCGGATAAAAGATCAGAATTTTTTCGACGTCTGGAGATGCTCAGATCTATCCAAAGATATTTAGCAGAGGTTGGCGAGGAAAACGTGTTTCGTGAGGACCTGATGCTTTCTTACTTACGTTGTAGCGGCTTATTGGCACCGGAAAATCATTGTTTGGAACGGTTAGCATGCGAATTTACCTATTCTCGAGCTTCTTTCCCACGTCTAGAGCAAGAAGTCGTATCGATGTAAGTATACGTTTATTTAATTCGATTTAAATTCGTCAGATGGCGACAGCGGTGGGGTGTGGGTTAAAAATACTATTACGCTACTAATTATAAATATCAATAGTATATACTAGATTAGTTTAAACTGTATTTTTATATAATTAGAGAAGTCGCATGAGTCACGCTTGTTAAACTTAAATGCAATTATCAGCAAGAGCTTGCAAAATGGTTCCCGTTGAAAAAAAAACATTCCTTATTTTGTCTTCTACTTTATTCATAAATAAATTACTACGGATAAAAGACATTTCTAAATAACTGCAACACCATTTTCATTAAGAAATTATGCAAAATACTTCGAAATAGGACCTCACCCACCACATCATTATACTCGCTTCATTGGTTTTAATGTATTGTAACAATAAAATTCGAAATGTTATGGCTGGGTGAAGGTTAAAATGATGATGACATAACAATGCACCGTTCGATTGTTTTCGCATAAGAAAACAATAGAATAACACCCAAACTTATTTAGGATGAGTCAATCCTAGGGTCTTACATGTTCCTGTAATGAAATATTAATTATAAAGTTTAGAAAATTAATTAGTGTAATTTCAAGTGCATATAGAGAAGTAAATCAGAAGAAATAGAAGGGCTCGAGAGGCCTTAACTTTAAGGTCGTAGTAGTCTTATTTATTGTGTTATGTCCATTTATTTGTTAAATTTTGTGTTGTTTACTCGACTTTTTGTTTGTTGTTTACATTACTAATCTGTTTAACTTTCTCTATTTCCAGTGTCTTCTACAACATTATGAAGAACAAACACATTGACGAAAGCGATAAACAGAGATTAAGAAAGGCAGCAAGAGTTGGAAAATACAAAAAAAGAAATTGTTCTATTTATTACTGCAATAAAATCGATTCCAATATTAAATAAAATATTCTCTAATGCTAAAAAATCATATTATTCTAGTAAATAAATAAATTAAAACAGAAAAATTATCTGTTAAAAATATTATTTACGACTATTTGACAAGATGTGTTTTAAGAATTCAAATTTTAAAAATAGGTCATATGTTTATTACGTCAGCATTTACATCATAAACACTTCCTTCTATTACTATTTATGGGAAACTGATTATGTATCGATATTTATGTAATATTTTAATAATTATTCGCTTTTTGGCTTGTTATTAGAATAAAAAAAACACTCTAAACTTAAGAAAATATTTATTTAATTAAAGCATTCATAGATTAAGTATTTAAATATATCTCAGGAATCTTAAACACGTACAGTACAAGCGTATCGGTAATAGGAACCATACAATCCTTTAACAGGAAGATGAAACTAATATGGTGACCTTGTTAACTCGATTTATTAACTTAAATATAGAGTTTTCTTTATTTTCACTCTCACATCTAACCTTCTGAACCTTTGTTATTTCAACTTCACTCTCTCCCGGATGCAGGAATGGTAACAGGATGGGAATAAAAGAAAAACGAGTTATAAAAAAGAAACAGTCGTTAGATGTGTTTCTAGATAAGTCGAGTCTAATTAATGGAAAATTTGCGTGATAATTATAGAGAAAATTATATTAACAATCGAAAATACGTAGAGGATTATACCGTAGACAAGAGAGCGCTAAGGGGATTTTATAACAACCGTTTCTACTCCGGATCCTTATGGGAAATTATGTAATATATAAAATAGGAAGAGATTAAAATTAAGGAAGAGATGATAGTACGAATGTTGGTAGAGAAATTTAAGGAGCACTCCACCAGAGGGAGCGTTTAGAGGAAGATTAGTTTGAAGTACAAGATCCGAGAAGTACAGTCGTCAAGCCTGTCTCCTGTGTACAAGGCGGAGTGTTTCCGCTCTCCACTATGAAGTTAACGTCTCTATGTCACCGGCTAAAGTCGGATGTGACTGTGTTTTTGTTATTTGTTACGTCTTCGATAGCCTTCAACGTCGATCTTCTGACATCCACCGTTTATCGTGGTCCTCATGATTCTATGTTCGGATTTTCTGTGGCACAATATAAAAGCAACAGACAGAGTTGGTAAGTTAATTTCTATTAATATCTCGTGATCCTTTAAGCTAAAAAAGACGTCCAGGTGATGGGTTGCCACGGCGGAAAAAATCTTATAATCACATCGACACATGTCCTAGATGTTTCTAATCTTCAAATGGGAGATGATAGACATTCCGTAGCATCATCCCGGAACCTTTAGTAACGCATATGGTCTACAGCTGGTAACGTGGGAATCAATATATTCCCCTACTCTACTCTCTTCTTTGCACGTGACGAATACACTATATTGTATGTAATTAAACGAACTCGATCGTTTGATATCATCTAGAATAATGATACGGTTCCTGATATTATATCTATCACAGTTAGTCATTTTAATGGCCTTCTTAATATTAAATTTCTGTTTAAAAAATCTTTAGAGTTGTATTACTAATTAAAGATTGAATAATTGCATAAATAATATGCAGATTTTTAAATTTTTTTTCTATTAATTATAAGTGCCAAATGCCGTATAGTACGACGATAAATTATAGTAAATTAGTAAGGAATTTTACACGCGTAACCTGATATTATCAAAGAAAACTGTTAAATTATAATACGTACGATCTAAAATGCTTGATTTTTTTTTTATAAGTTTAATACTTTATACGGAATTAATTTGTGAATTATCAACGTGTCGAAGTGTATACTTTTGTATTGATTAGCGTTAAACGGTAAAAGTTGTTTACAAGTTTAGTGTCAGCAGGAATTTATTACTCAGGTCGTTTTGCACCTAAAAACTGACTCTCTGACCGTTTGCAAACACGTGCAAGTGACTGTTTTCATTACATGAGTTAGCATCTGGTAACGGTTTGTGGACAACGTGAAGGGTGTGCCGTTTTCAATTGCCTATATCAGGTAACCTATTTTGACATCTTAGCCATCTAAAACGGTTCAGTCTTGTGTTCTATTATTGAATTTTTACGTAATATCAGTGACGAAACTACTTACTAAAAATGTTAGCAGTCACTTCTAGAAATTGCTGACAATTTTTAATACTCCTTACAAGTATGTGATATCAGAAATTCTCCTGTTACTAAACACTTTATGCTTTCTTAATTCCTAAAAGAGATAACAAAATATCCATAAACATAATGTTTTATCAAGGAATTTGTAAGGTCAAATTTTAAGGAATGTTCCGTCCTCTATCTCTTTCAACAACGGTATAAAGAGGTTAAGTAAATCTTTTTCGTCCACTCTCGAAGAGTCAAAAATTCCAAATTTAAGTGCTTTAAAGTCGTAATTTATATCTTTATACTATATAATTATTAATTAAAATGAAGTTTTAAGGTTATAATTATATATTATATATTAAACAAAGAAGAATTTTTTTTTAATATTCAGTACAATTTGAGCAATGGTTTAAAAATAAACAACCGACTTAAGTACTGTATTTTTAAATTAGAAAATAAACATCCAAACGCATGCACTAAGAGGGGAAAAAATCATAAAATAAAAGTGTTATGAAATTTAACAACCAATTTTACTTATGCATTTTTATTTTATTTTTTTTTTACTGTTTATCAGCATTCCTTATATGGACTAATTGAAATTATATAATTACAATTACAGTTAAATTTCAATGAGAATTAAGCTAATCATTCCTTAATTTTTTTAGTAGAAATTAAAGGTTTTTAAATCTATTTTTTTTAAAATATTATACAATTACAATTGGTCCGTATAAGGAATGATAATAAAGAGTTAATTTCGTATAATATCTGTAAATCCTTTCGTTCTATAAAATATCCTATACTATAATCCTCTTTAAAATCTTAAAAAAACACATTATCCTGTATAAAATATACTATAAAATAAGCTATTTTAATAGGAAATATCCTGTAAAATATATAATATCAACAGCTTGTCTTTGTTTTCTGTCGAAATTATAATTTATTTACTCAAATATTTTAATTTTTAATCGATTTTTTAAAATACATAATATAAACGTGCTTACTAGATCGAGCCACGTGGCTGAATAGTTGTTAATGAAAATGTCAATTTCAACGTCGTAAAAAAAAAAAAAAATGTTAATTACAAGCAACGACGTAAATGCACGTGCTTCATTCTATTCGCTTTTTGGCTTGTTATTAGAATAAAAAAAAACACTCTAAACTTAAGAAAATATTTATTTAATTAAAGCATTCATAGATTAAGTATTTAAATATATCTCAGGAATCTTAAACACGTACAGTACAAGCGTATCGGTAATAGGAACCATACNTACTGAAAAATAGGGAATAATCAGCTTAATTTCTACTGAAAAATAGGGAATAATCAGCTTAATTTCTACTGAAAAATAGGGAATAATTAGCTTAATTCCCAAATGAAATTTGATGATAATTGTAGACTTATGAATGGATTTTATGAATATAAATGGAAGTGAATCCGGTTTCTGTAGAGTTCTGCAATCGCTGTTGAAGCTCTCAAAATAACGATTCCTCATTTAAGAGTTTAAAAATATTCTTAAATAAAAATTAACAGAACTTCTCCTTCCCCCCTTTAAGAAAATTAAGCTACATCCTTGATCTCTATATTTAGTATCACACATTTTCTACTGTCAAAAATCATTAAAAAATGGTACACATCCCTGTTTTCTGTCAATTTTTAGCGAATAAAAACGTTAATTTAATAAAAATAATAATCAATTTGGATAAAAACTTACTCGTAATTGCTTTTTTTACCGTGTTTTAAATGGTCTTAATAAGTTGAAAAGAAAATTTCTTATGTAAAAAAATATTCCAGCATCATTCTAATGATAATTGTCGAGTTCGAAGACCTTTTTTTCACGAGGGATAATCTAATTTTTTAAAGAATTAATTGAAAACTAAAATGCTATACACTATTTACAAATTAATTTCTTAAGTACACGTTAACTTTATCACAATAGGTTGTGTGAGTAAGTTGAATCTTTCAGTGAGGAAGTGAATGAGATGATTATTTTTAAATAAGAAAATGGTCATCATCACTATGAGATTCTTCTACTTATATTAAAATGGACAAGAATAGCCCATTAAAATTTCAAAAATTTTTAAGAGGATTTTAGAATGCGTTAATGTCAAGTAGAGGTCACTAACATGATAAACTCCTTTGTTGATTCTTAGCCAGCTTCTCAGGAAGTGACCATGAACATTAAACCGAGTCATAAACAAGAAAATCTTTTTAGATCGAAAAGCTTTAAAATTATGTCAGCTGATTAAGTTATAAGCATTTTTTTTAAGGCAATTTTTTTCTTTTCCAGTTCGACCCATCTCCCCCTAGTTAAAAGCCGTAAAATTGTAGAGTCGTTTTACCTCGATATAGCGAAATAAATCGACATTACACAGAGGTTTATGGTTAGAAATACGTTAAAATATGATTTAATAAAGTGTACATAACACTAAATTTTCGTAAGGAGTAATCATATTTATTTTTACGTCCAAGTAGATGATATCATTTTCACAAAAGATTGCTACGTAATCTATTCTGAGTACGTGTTTTTTCGGTACAGCACATACTTCTCACCCACTAAATTCGAACTTCCTGCGTTTCCTTTCTTAATCGAGTCATCTTTTTTTTTCACATTTTTACATATCTGAAGGGAGAAAAGCCTAGAATAACTAGAGATAATCGCATCAGCTGTACATACAGTAAGAGAAAACAAAACATGGCCCCATGTTTCCATTTCATTTGATGGATTACAGTATAGAGTCGACGAGTGATGAACAGTACTCTTTTTTTTTCTTTTTCTGTGGTCCTTCCAGTTTGTCTGTCTGTCTCTTCTCTGCTAGAAAACTAAGATCTTTCATTTCCGTACCATTTTTAGAAACAAATCTGGATAAGATATGAGAAGCTTTCGTTATGAATATTGTTTATTTATTTTTTTAAATAGTATATTTTATTGTTTAAAAATATAATTAAAATTAAGGAGGGATTATTAAATTATTAACACGTTAACACAGTCGACTTCTGATGCTATATTATAAGATTATAAGGAAATTATAATCATTTTTAACTCTTTAATTTTATAAATTTAAGGGAAGGAAACGTGTATTGTACGTGTTTCCTTCCTTAAAATTATTATTTCCTCAGAAAAACTTGTTTTTTAAAACGGTTTATTTCTCGGGGGTGTTTTTGGATATCGCTTTATTTAATTGCAGGATCGTTTACATGCATTTAAATGGTGGAATAAAAATAGGGACACAATAAAACACGTGATTGATTACTAGAGAAGCTGTTACGGTTTCCGGTCCCGACTTCTAGATCCTTAATGACGTCCAACTGGTAAAGGAAATGGCAAAATGCCGACAACAAGGAGCAACTGTTGTGATTTACGCTTCGACCCCAAACAGTTCAATCGTTCTAAGAAAAATGTAAGGGATTGGAGATTTCCTTTAAAAATCTCTTCAGGAAGCGGTAAATTATTCAAAAAAAAAAAAAAAATTATATTTTGCCTTGAATAAATAAGATGCGGATTATATTAAAGGAGTAAGATTAATTCGGAATTCAAAGGTTATGCCAACCGAGAACTAATTCTAAACTTAACCGTGCTTTAATCTGATTTATAATTATGATTCTCACGATAAACATTTTTTTATTTTTTTATTTATGTACAGTAAATCGAGCGAAGTCGAGTTAGTTCTAAGAATAAAATTTCTAAATTTAATAGTAGAATGCTTCGTATATCGAGATAAACATCCGAACTAATTGCATGTTTAAGTAATAATGCCTCGAATTTTTAGGAATGTGCCATTAAAAAATGAAGTTCGGACACCCTAATAATGTAAAATAACTAATTTTCTTATATATTATACAAGAAAATGAACGTAAAAATCGATATAGACGAGCAAAAGTTCAATTACCAGCTAAACTGATCGTGTCTAATTGATTTAATTTTTACATTAACGATAATTTATTTGTAAAAATAATCATTTTATGTATAAAACAGAAGCAATCGGCGTAAATTTACAATTATTCTTTGAACTTTAAAGTCAATTAATTGTTGAAAGAATGTCGTTAAAAATGTATTTATTCCGCCATTCTGACTGAGTTTAAAGTAAAAAAGAAAAAAAAATGGCTTGTGAGAAGTATAAATTATTCATTGTCCAATTAAATATCTCGTCTTATTAAACTAATGGCGTTAAACTCACTACCGAGTTACTACTTGTGTGTTCTCGTTATATATTTATGTTCTAAACATGTTAATGCAGTAATCGTGCATAGCAAAAATTCTAGCACGTATTTCGTACAATAAAATATAAATTAATTATCCTAAATAGATTATTATCCAATAGTTTATTTTTTTCAGGGATTATTTTTCAAATTTAATTATTATATTCTTATCTCCAATTCTAAATATGAAGCTGGAGCTTAGAAAAAGTGTTTACTTGACATGTACCATTCATTATCTGATTCAAAATCCGGTTGATAATAATTTTGTTCATTGTTTAAAACTGCAAAAATACTTTTTTTGAGGGGTCCTAAAACGTGACATTTCGTAGGTCGATCATAAAAATTCGATAATCTAAAACTCCTGATCATTTTCCCCCCTATTTATCATGTCTAAACAATGGTATTTTCTATGAGAAAAGCCAGAGTGTTGACTCCAGATGGTTCCTTTTTCTAACTTCCTGTCTCCTGCAGGTTATATATCCTGTAGGGAAGTATTTGTTCGTGCCAAACAGTTTAAACTGATAAAAATATTTATACATGTATAAAGTTCAAGGAGTAAAATTTATTTATTAATTACAAAATATTTTCTTCTAGGTTAATCGTTGGTGCACCTAAAGCACAGACGAATCAACCCGGTGTTGTTCAAGGTGGTGCCGTGTACAGGTGTGTACCAGGTGATCATAGCAGGTGCACGCAACTTCCCTTCGATCAAACAGGTAAATGATGTCATCTTTTTTTAGTAATTATACTTAGAAAATCGGCTTTACATAATATACGAAGATCACGAATGAGTTAAATCTTACAAGGCATCCTTTGTATCCTGTGTTTTTTTTTTAATGGAGAAAAATTACCAGTTATGTGTAATAAAAATCGATAAAAAAAATGTAAATATTTTCACTTTCCTTGAATATTTTAGATGATCGTTTTAAAATATAAAGAGAGGGGACGATTTATTTTACACGTTTTAATGATCTAGTAACAATTTATGGATGGAAATGGCATAAGAAACGAGTATAGAATCTCGTTTCTTGTGCCATTTCCACCCATAAATTGGGGTGCCATTGCAATTTTTTTGTAGATTTATATAATTTTCTAACGAAAAAATATTATTAGATACGCATTAATTTTATTATTTGGCTAATTTGAAGGTATTAAAAACTATACTATGATACGAAGAAGTGAATGTTTGCTCCGTAATCTTAAGAAAAATGGATAAGAATATCCATAAGAAATGATTATAGAATCTCCATTTTTGTAAATTTATGTAATTATCTAACGAAAACGTATCATTAGACAAGTATTAGTTTCATTATTTAATTTATTTAATGGTATTAAAGTTAATAAATCTGCTAGGATATGAATTACTTCATATTTACTTCATTTTACAAGAAATAGCTTTGTTTTTTTTAATACATTTCTAGTGAAATAACCTCATTAAATATGCATTAATTTTATTATTTATTTGATTTTAAAATGCTAAAAGTTAGTAGTGTGCTAGTGTATGAAAAAGTAAATATTTACTTCATACTCTGGTACTGTACATTTGTGTAGATTCGTGTATGAAAAAAACAAACATTTCCACACTATTAATTATCGAAGACATTAGCCTTTTTAATGCATATTTTTTTTAAATAATAAAATCATTTTTATTGGGGAGGAAAAAAAAATACTGAAGTGACATTGAAAATGCTTTCTACAACTTTTAATGCCTGTAACATTAAGAGTAGTCGGAGTATATTTTGTGCCTTGGAAGTTTGCCATTTGCACAGGGCAAAAATATCGCTCTTCGTCACACTTTCCTACATAGATCCAGTTAGTTGACGAAGCGTAGAAAATAGTGACAATGCCTTGCCTGTCTGAAACAAGCCATAGGGTACGGCTTTTGTACGAATTTTTTCTTAACTCGCAATAAAATACAGATGTTTCCTATTATATATATGTATATATATATAAAAAATTAAATGCATAAATTACTTTTCAGGATCAGAAACACTAGATTACGGGGATAGGNTATATTTAAATATTTTAAATTGTATATACACTTCAAAGTTGTAGAGAAATCGAGGGTGTAGGAAACGTCGTTTAATATAATAAATGGTTATTTTATATGATCGGTATATAATGTAAGGGATGCTTATAACATCTATATAACACTTGTTCCATGTAAACGTGGATAAAACGACAGCTGCTCTGGAAGAAGCGATTTATTTTGGATCTCCTCCAAGCTCACAAACCAATGATTTTTTTTTTCTTTCTTTCTTTTTCTCCTTCTTCTTCCCCGTTTCGGTTCACTACACGCTTGTAGTTTGACCTCAGTGGCCTATATAAACAAAATAAATCAAAATAAAGTCTCGTTAAGATTGAAAATTTCCACGAATTTGCATAAATTATTTGACTTAAATAAAAGTATAAATTCCACACACACACACACACGCTGGCATTTGTCGTAGTTTTAAGCGAAGAAAATAGAGGAAGAAACCAGATGTTGTCAGAATCTGAGATCGAAAAGATCCAAAATTGTAGAGGAGGAAAAAAAAAAAAAGTTAATTTAAGCTAGAGACACCCATCAAAACAATCAGTAACATCCTTCTCAAAACGAAAAACTGGGATAGTCAATTAAAGTAAAAGAAGTCCTGCGTGTCGTCAAGAGTATATCCAGTTTTCTTTTATCCCATGGGGATTCCGAATTGGTGCTACGAGACACGTCAATCAGCCTAAACCCCCCTCGTAAAAAAAAAACTCTCCCGCTGCAAGTTTATCGAACGTTTCTTTCGATAAATATCTCATATTTGTTTGTAACAAAGTGTCGGAATTCACAAACAGAAAGAAAGTATTAACTATAAAAGTTTATTGGCCACGTGCTTGCTTAGAGTTAGATTAGGTGGAGAAAGATTTATTGACAAGTAGGACCAAGTTGAACTCGCTACTACACGAGAATTGATGAATACCAGCACACCCCATCTCTGTCCAGATAGTAAACCTGTTACAACAAGTGGTTATCGATATCTTGTGCATTTCACAATGCTTACTCATATCGAAATGCTACCAAAAAATGTGGAAATATTCCTTTTTTCCCAGGATCAGTTAACAGAAAAGCGCTTTACCTTATCGCGGCACTCTACTCGGTTTTAGTTTCCTTACAAAAAAAAAAGGCCCGATTGAATAAGGGCACGCCAGAGCCGGATATAGATTTGTTGCTGCCTTTAATCTATTACATAAGAGGCCCTTTATTAGTGAATATAAAAGAGTGAGGTCCTATACTCTCAGCCTTGTTTAGATTAGGCCCTACAACACACATCTGGTTATTCCTTATTAGATATTCCTTGTTTAATTATGGAAACTCGACCAGTAATCAATGCCAGATTGCTATTTTGGGAAAAATGGACTGTGTGAAAACAGTTCGCACTTCCTTTGGGTCACCTGCTGTTGTCAAATTAAGTTAAAAAAATATTTAAATAAATAAATAACGACTCGTAAATCATCATATTTTTTCAATTTAATTAACTCAAACAGAAGTAGGCCTTCAAATAAAACCATCTGCGAGCTTAAGAATATATAATTTAAACCGTCAGACATAATTTACACCATCGGCTCTTATCTTAATTGCAGTAAAATCAAGCGGAACGAAAATTGAATTTGATTTAAAATTAATTGTGAATAATAAGTAAATTATATTCTATTACAAATAATTTTAGTTGGTTTAATATATTTTAACACTATTTTTTAAAATTATATATTAATTTTGTAAGAATTATATTTATTTAATTATTTTTTTAACTTTTTTTAATTATTAACACAGGCATGTGCACCCAGATACGTTTATTACGGAGGAAATCTAGCGAGGAGGGAACCTGTTGGTGTATGTTGGACGTTAGATTGGAGATTTTCTTCACCAAAAAAATATTCACCGTGTAGAAATCGTAAGTAAAACTTCTAGAATTTACGTGTCCTTCTGTCTAGTTTATTATTAACTTTTAAATATTTACGTACGTCCACGTTTTGTTACAGTAAACACTTTCGAATCTTCGACTTAATATCTTCGTCTGTGAATAGTGTTTAAAATATTATAAAAACACACACACAAAAAAAAAATTCTTTCAATTGAGATTGTTAAACCCGTGTGTTTTGTTTAATTTTCTATAGCAGGGATTTATTTTTGTTGAAGATCTGTACTGAAATAAAATGAAGGAAGTGTTTGTTCCGGAGACTACTGTATATACAGTACATGTATACGTACTTAAGTAGAGACTTGGAGTATACAAATTTTATATATCGCATGTGGCTTTTGACTTTGCGGTATGGGTTAAAACGGTGCTTCTGATAGGTCAGTTCGTTAATGAACTATTTGTAGAACTTCTTGAAGATTTCTGTTACTTTAGTAAGAATCTTTCTCGTAGTAGACGTCTGTTTTACTTTTGAGTCATTAACACTTGGAATAGCAATCCAAGGATTTTTCGTGTTGAAGAGTAGCCAAATCGGGCGAACGTCCTTCCGTTTATGTCATGCTAACACACTTTTTTTTCTTCTTTTTTTTAAAAAAAAAGATAAATTGTGTTAATATTAGCGTTAAAAATCTCTCGCATTTAATATTTTACCTTGTAGCATCTACTTTAAATACTTTCTCGCGCTTCATCTCGTACAGTACATACTCCTGCACACACACACTTTATCATCAATTAATTATTATAATTTTGATTATATTTAAATATTTTAAATTGTATATACACTTCAAAGTAGTAGAGAAATCGAGGGTGTAGGAAACGTCGTTTAATATAATAAATGGTTATTTTATATGATCGGTATATAATGTAAGGGATGCTTATAACATCTATATAACACTTGTTCCATGTAAACGTGGATAAAACGACAGCTGCTCTGGAAGAAGCGATTTATTTTGGATCTCCTCCAAGCTCACAAACCAATGATTTTTTTTTCCTTTTTTCTTNTAAAATTTTAATCGTAATTAGCAGTTTTATTTTGAATTAATTACTAAATGATACTCTTTGCTAATTACAATTAAAATTTAATATTGCATACGTTAATTACAATTAACATTTAATCTTGAATGCGTTAATTATAATTAAGATTTTTTAAAATTTTCATTCAAATTGGCAATTCTTTTGGTATTATTAAGCTATATCACGGCACGTTATAGCCTATAAAAATACTAAAATTAAAATATTTTTGAGCCAAGTTTTTCTATTTAAATCTTCAATAAACTATAATTAAAACGAAATATTCTATATTTAGACATTGTTAACTATTCAGAGCTGTATAATAATACATCATTAATGTACGGCATAGTAAAATGCCATTCGTCTCAACTGAATAAATAAACACTTAGCAAAGTATCAATAAATAAATTTTATTTAAAGTCAAATAGCGTTTTAAATGCAATTAAAAAGTGAACATTTATTTAAATATAATACGTATGACACTATAAATTATCTTTAAATATATTAAATAAAGTTATAACTTCGTTATTAAACCGTATAATCAAGGTTCTGTTAACACATAAGCTGAGCATGCTAAAGCTTAGGGCCTGATGAGACCAGTTTCGAGGCCTTATGTTTTTTAAATTTATTATTATACGGTGAACAGGAAGGGCCTTTTTATAAACGTCGTTTAATATAATAAATGGTTATTTTATATGATCGGTATATAATGTAAGGGATGCTTATAACATCTATATAACACTTGTTCCATGTAAACGTGGANAAAAAAATTCCTTGTATTTTTATTAGAATTTCCAATAAATTACTTTACTGTTGTTGTTTTATTTTGATTTTTCTCCTTTGCAAGATACATTATCTTATCTGCTTCGTTTGAGGCTAATTATCCTTTTAGATGAAGGAACGAAATAAGTAAATAAGGAAACAGTACACTAAAACTATAGAAAGGAACTCGTAGGATACCTAAAATAGGAGAAGAGAACATCAGTGTTAAAGGAATATTTACAGCATTAAAAAAGGGGTAATGTTACCCTTTTTAGATCTGTTCTATAAGTACACTTTCCAGGAAAAAAAATAGGAGAAAGGAAAACAATGCGAAAGCAAAACTTGCCCCTTTCCAAGGAATAAACAAATTTTAATCGAAATAAACGTTATTTTTAATTGTAATTAACACGTTTAAAATTTTAATTACGATAAGGAAATACGAAATTTATAACGATTTTAATTGTAATCACAGCAATTTAAATATTTCGATTATAATTTTTTAACTGTAATTAATATATTTTAATTGTATTACATTTCTAATACAATAAACACGAAATTTAAGTAGTTACACTTAAATTTTATTCATTTTATTTAACATATTTACATTTACTTTTAAACGATAAACGATAAATTTTAAAAGAAAAAGAATTAAACAAAACTTGTATAAAAATTTCTATTTAATTTATAAAATAAAATTTAATTGTAATCAACATACATACAGTTTCAATTATGATAAGTAAATACGAAATTTGCAACAATTTATATATAATTAACAGAATTTGATTTCAATTTGCAATTTTGATTGTAATAAATTAAAATTTATAACAATTTTAATTGTAATTAACACATTTTTTTGGTTGTAACATACATTTTTAAGAGTAAAAAAACAGTTATAAAGTTACAACGAAAAACATGTTAATTACAATTAAAATTCCTGTAAATTTTAATTGTAATTAACATATTTTCTTGGTTGTAACGTACATTTTTAAGAGTAAAAAAACAGTTATAAAGTTACAACGAAAAATATGTTAATTACAATTAAAATTCTTGTAAATTTTAATTGTAATTAACACATTTTTCGTTGTAGCATAGAATTTTAATCGTTCAACTAAATTAAGCGAACAATTCGACTATTAATTACATTTTAATCGACCTTAAGCATATTTTTATCGATTATAAAGCAGGCTTATTATACTTAATGCTAAAAAAAAATTCATAATTATTCTAAGTTAGAGAGACTTTGTGCTATTTCTATATATAGAATTGTGATCCAGCAATTCTTATTTTTTCTAAATATTCTCTTTCTTTTTTTTCTTTCCACATCCCAGCTACATTTTTTGGTCCTCACAGACAGGGATTTTGTCAAGCAGGCTTTTCGGCAGCTGTCACCAAGGTACGGTTGAATAGTAATTTTAGTAAAATATTGCTAGATCACCTTACATATGTCATCCCCATTTAAATCAGTAAATTTATTATGTATCGTATATCAATTCTATAGCATTTATCTTATATAAAATCAATTATTTTTGAATATATATATATATATCATTAACAGGACGGTAGCGGTTTATATATAGGAGCTCCAGGTAGCTGGTATTGGCAAGGTAAGTCAGGGATTTTTTTTTTCTCTCTCCCTCTTCCTAGTTGTTAAGTGATTTTTTTCCCCTGTTATCGATTGTCCGAAACAGTTGTTTTCGTCGTGTTTCTATTAATCTTATTCGTCTAGATATATATATTTCGACACTTAATGATACTAATCAGTGATATCGATAAATCAGTATCAAGATGACAGAATGACAAGATTTATCCAATTAGCTGCTACGAAATAAAAAAATAAAACAAGAAAGAGATGTTGTGCAGAAACACATTTCTATAAGCTGGGTGGGTGATACTGGGTTGTTTGGATGTGTCGTTATTCTGTCATGTGCTTCATTATGATACCAAGAACACACAGACTTAGTTCTGTCTTGATGTATTCAACTGATAAATGATCTTGTAGTTAATTTTTGACAATGAGAAAATGAAAATAATAAGTGTGAATAGCATCTACTGTTGATTGATTAATTTTAATTTAAAGAAGAAAGGGTGAGTCGATTGTTGAATAGTTTACACTTATTAAAATAGGATGCTTCTAATTATACTTAATCAGTTTTGTATATATAGGCCTATATTATTTTTAAACATTTAAAAGTACGATGAGTCATGTATTTAGAAAGAAATTCCCATAAATTCCTGAATAATTTAAATATTTTTAAAAGTCCACATCCTATATTTACCCTTATACACTTGGCTGTTAATCTCTAGGATGAATGTTTAACTTACCTGATTGATTGTTTCTTCTATTGTCAAGTAATTAAGGACGTTAAACTTAAGTACATTCATTAAAATTTAAAAAAAAACTTGTGTGTTTTTATAAGAAACGTGACTTGTAATTTCTGTGGGGCATGTTAGAAAACAAATAGCACAAACGGTTTAAGTAATAAATAAATATTCTACTATTTTTTATGATATTTTGTTGGCCTTAAGTTTTATAGAAAAACAAATAAAAAAATCTCTCATAATTAAAAAAAAAATAAGTTTCGTTATTTAATGTATGAGGTATTATAGGCGGTAAGTAAGGCTGTCTGGATCGGGCTTCGTATTTATGAGGGCCTCGAGAACATTTATTATAAATTATTCATTCCGTAATATTCCTAATGCATAAACTTTTGTGTCTTTTATATACCGGGGAGTCTGAAAACATCATGTAACCCAGGCCTCTCTCGACCTCTGAGAGGCCCTGATGTATAATTAAACCTCCGAATCACGGCCACTGACGGGAATATAAAATATTTCTGTTGTTTGAAGGTTATTTTATACGCGTTTTTGTTCATAAACTGGTCGTTGTTGAGAGGTGTCCGCTATTGGAGGTTGGACTTTTTTCTTTTAAACTTAAAGGTTTTCTTTAACTTTTTTAGGTGTTAGTATAAATAAAATTTTCAGCTTAAAAATTAAAAAAAAAAAGGGTAAATGTGCCCTGCTGAAATCATGCTCATCAACATAATCATTTTGTTTTAATAAAACACAAGAAAAATAATCCAGTAACGAGTTGCTTAACTTTCCCGGCAACATTTGGTGGAGCCATCTGTTACTATATTTTATTAAAAAAGAACGTTTTATATTTTTAATTATTATAAAATTGCAAAAAAAAACTTAATTCTGGGGGTAGGGATGGGTTTTATAAAGAAAATTGTAAACGCTAATAACGAGTAAAATCGTCATTAAATCAGACCCTAAACCACCCCTTTATCTTCCCACCTCCTCGACCTTTTACCTCCAAATATTAGTAGCATCGATCGCCCTAATACACAAATCTCACTGCAAAATTTTAGACATTTTCGACAAAAGACACAGAATTTATTAAGCTTCAAAACAGTGTGAACAAAATCCTGCCCTCCCCACACACAGAAAGACCCTCAATTTTTTTTTTTTTTTTGAATTTCTCTATATTTCATTTCTCTTGAGTTCAAAAAATCTGGGGGGGAGTCATTTATTACCGATCCCCTCTGTTATATATAACAACCGGGAAAGTAAAATGAATAATATCACTTTCGTTTTCTCCTTTAATCAACACAGAGTTAGGCTTTTCGGCCTTGTTTCTAACTTTCACTTATACTTGTTAGCGATATGAAAGAGAAATTGAACGTGTATCACTTTCATTTACATCGTTTATATAACAGTCTCGTAGAAAATACAACAAAACAAAGGCTGTATTATATACCTTACCGGGTTTTCTGTGCCAAGTTTACAACTCGGAATTTCTCAGAATAATATTATAACCTAGAAAAAAAGAGGGAAAATAGGCCGAATGGAGTAAAAGTGGAACGTGTTTCACTTCGTTTCTAGTTTATGTAATTAATTAAGCTCAGTTAACAATAAGTGTAGTATAAGAAATGCCCTTATTTTATTAGTTTTTACCGTTAAAAATGATAAACAGATGGAGTTATCTATATTATTTTTTGCAACGTATCAAAGATTGAATTATAACCACATGGAGCATCTTCAGTTTTCTAGTTTCAGATATGTTTTATTGCTTAGATAAATAAAAAATTGCTAAGGATTGTTTCCAGTTTTTTTAGCAATAAAACGATATCGAAGCTTGAGATCTGTGAGAGTCGCTGCTACTGAAATGCTCTTTGTAAAATCTACAGTAAAGTGTAACTATGTACTCGACAAACACGTTTTTTTTCAATAGAAGTAACGCATTAAGTAAGTAATAATAAATATATATTGCTTACTATTATAAGGTGTAAGTAAGTCTCGTGTGAGCAATAAGATCTATTGATTCTATCGAAAAGTAAGGAGTCCAAAAGTTAGTTAATGTGCCTACCAGCGGCTGAGTAGATAAACACTGGTCGTGGGTTCACTGCATGGTGTTTTCTGGATTTTTTTCACGTTATTAATACAGTAGCCCCCTCTATAACACTGTAGATAATTCTTTGTTATATGAATTCCATGTTATACGAGCCACTTAGATTTTACAAATACGTGTGCCGGGCCGTGATCAGCTCACGTATTTGTAAAATCTAAGTGAGTCGTACAACATGGAATTCATATAACACGGAATTATCTACAGTGTTATAGGGGGGTCTACTGTACCTAAATAAGGGCCAATTTCCCATAAAAACTCCTCCCCTCAGCAGATCGCCCGCGTGTAACGTTGCTATAAACAATTAAAACCGAACCGAAAGTTAGTTAACCAACGTAAAGACTAAATCTCTGTCTTTTAATTAATAAAATTTAAGATTAATTGTTACTTTTTCCATCTATTTTGCACACAAAAAAATAAAACACTTCGTTGTAAACTGGCGTTACAATTTGTATTAACGAATGTATCTGGACGGTTACCTAACTTTCGGGCCACCCTGTATATTACTGGTAATTTCACTTGTTTATATGTTTCAGGTCAGGTGTTTTCTCAAAATCTGACAACTGGAGATCTGTTCGAAACCAGAGAAAGTCCAAAAACTTACGATGATAGCTACCTCGGTATAGTAATTTATAAGAAGAAATTATTAAAAAAATAATAATAATAAATGATTAAAAAAAAATTTGACTATTTTTAAAATTTCAAACAGGATATTCATCAGCCGTTGGTGAATTCACAGGAGATTCGGACATGGATGTTATTGTAGGAGTGCCAAAAGCAAATATAACTGGAAAAGTAAAATTAAATCTTATGTTATCATTGTAAATATCTGTATATATGTAAGTAATCTGTGAATAAAACATGTAAATATAAAGAAAATTTTTTAAAAAATATTCCATTAGGTGGTTTTGTTTAATTCTAAACTACAGAATCTGCTTAACATTAGCGGTGATCAGATAGGATCCTATTTCGGGTATTCTCTGTGTGTAAGCGACTTGAATGGCGACAAGTAAGTTGTTTAGATCGTAAAAATCATCATCATCATGACCATAAAAAATAAATTTTTACGCATCATTACCCTTTCAGATTGGACGATATCGTGGTTGGTGCACCCCTGCATTCAGACTTCAAAGCCAAAGGAGAGAAATACGAAGAGGGACGTGTTTACGTCTATTATCAAGACACTAATGTAAGTTAATTCTTAATAATAGGACGAAGATACGTGTCGTTAACTTATATAACTCTTTACGTTTATAATTTAAGCATCAATTTAATGTCGTGGTCCATCTGGATGGCACGAATCCAAAGGGAAGATTTGGTTTGGCACTGGCTTCTCTTGGTGACATAAACAGAGATGGATATCAAGGTAAAAACACTTTTTAAACCGTGTAAATAAAGTAACATAATCTGATATAAGTGTATTTATGGAAAATTTTACGTCACGTAGACATAGCGGTGGGTGCACCTTATGATGGCAAAGATGGGCATGGTGCCGTTTACATCTATCATGGCAGCCCCGAAGGAATTATAAACAAAACATCACAGGTAGAAACCGTGTTCTGTTTAATTCTATGGTTTGATATTGTTAATTTTTAATGCAATTTTAATCTTTAGATAATCACGCCATCCGATTTTGGCCACGGAGGAATACGTACATTTGGCTTCTCGATATCGGGAGGGATGGACTTAGATAACAACAATTATCCAGGTGAAAATACGTAAATAAATAAGTAAAAATTCAATTGTGAAGTATCTGGGGATGTAAACTTTCACTAAAACTTTCTAATTTCGTTTTATTTTTAGATCTATTAGTAGGAGCATACGAATCTAGTAGAGCCATATATTTTAGGTATATCATATATCGTGTTTGTTTATTTATAGAATTTTTATCAACTGAAAATAAATTAGAGAAATTTTTTCAGGTCACGACCTGTTGTTACTCTCAAAGGTTCCTTAAAAGTTAATGTCGAAAACATTGATCTTAAAGAGAAGAACTGTGTCATACTAGATAAAACTCAAGTTTCTTGGTTAGTATTTGTTTATTTTAATACCGTTTAATTCATTTTGGCGTTTAAATATACAGTCTGTCTTCGAAATATCCAATGACACCAATAAAAATCTTAATATAGTTTCAGTATTTTTTTTTGATAATTTCGAGTTATAAACGCAGCTTGGTGGTTTACGTCCGCTTTTCCCAACGAGTAGATCGCGAACTACATTGTTCGAAGGAAACGGTCGTCGAAACGATAAGGTTGAAAAACGCCGACTTGAAACCTTATCAATCATTAAAAATAATTAATTTTATAACAAAATATATTCATTAAATTAATCCGATGGCTAATTTATTGTCAATTAATGATTAAAATTGCAAAACGCTTGAGGAATATGAAATACAATAGATCCATCCCACTTTACAACTGTACAGTATTTACGCGAACGGGACCTCAATTTATAATGTTAATCTTATGGGAAATCAGGGATCGATTTACGACGATTTTCCAATAATTACTTGGGAAATCATAGAAAATCTGATACAGTACATCCCGTTTTTGTGACTAATAAGGAATTAGCAGCAAAATCGGGTGTATTGCAAGCAATTAGGAGCAAAATCGGGTGTATTGAAAGCAATTGGGAGCAAAAGCGGGTGTATTGAAAGCAGTTGGGGAGAAAAATCAGGTGTATTGCAAGCAATTAGGAGCAAAATCGGGTGTATTGCAAGCAATTAGGAGCAAAACCGGGTATACCCGTATTCGATTTTGAGAATTCTTGTGTACTATTAGATATGAAATTGAATTAAATTTTCGGATTCTCCAAAATATTGGCTTTTTGTCAAATTAATGTTCTGAATTTAACAATTTCTATAAATTTACAGTTTTTTTGCAACTCTTTGCCTGAATTATACGGGACACGACATCGATTCTGAGTTGGGTAAGCATAAACAAATTTCCATTTATTTATATCCAAATATTGAATTAAATTTACAATATTTTGTTGTTACCAAAGGTTTCACTTACGAAGTCAAATTGGATTCTCAAAAAGACCCTCCTCAACGAGCGTTTTTCTTAAATGATCCGTTTAAAAATGAAATGACAACCACCGTATATTTAAGTGAAGGTTCCAATTATTGTACTGAAATCTATGTTTACATTGAGGTAAATTTGACAACTCTGTTAGATCTGATAACAGTTATAGATTGTTAAATAATCAATTCATCTGTTGCAGAATGATATTAAAGACAAGTTAACATCAATAGCTCTATCTTTAAAGTTTCATTTGATTGATTCAATTTCATTGGAACATAGATTAAATCCAATTTTAGATCAGAATGGATTAGTTGAGCTTGTTAAAGAGGTAAACAAATTTTAAATAGTTTTTTTCCCTATATTTAATTATAACATGGTAAACTGTAGTTTAAGAATATATAAAAATTACTTACAATTTTATGGTATAGAGAAGCTGGAGTGGTCCAAAAGTCTTGTCATCTCTTGGTTATACTGTATTATAACACAATGTGCAGATATAACAAAATACATAGCAATTACAAGTATATTTGTTACATTTTTATATTGGTATACGAGTGCCATATTCTGTGTATGGATCTTAAGAAGTCCATACGCTTACAATGAGCCATTCTTCCACTATAGGAGCTTGTTTTAACAGTCTATTTGAAGTTGTACATTATTTATTTCAAACTTATGGAGTGACAAGACTTTTGGACCACTCTACAAGCTTGAGATGATTGGTGCACTGTAGTTACATATTCATGAAAGTAGCAATGCATGGATTATCTTTGTTAAATTCAGGATATAAAAGGACTAGAACTTTTATGATTAACAAAATAATGGTTTGTTGTATTACTTGTACTTCAGTTTTTTGATAATAAAAATATAAACATACATATATATATATATACATATTATATACATACACACATATATATATATGTCACAGAGAATGGATGAGGTGGCTCAAAAGTCAGTTAATCACTGTAAAGATTAAATTGCTCTTATTCAAATCCTTTATAATTTTGAATAATTGTACTTTGTTTCCTTTTTCAATACACAAATTATAATACAAATCTATTCTAAGTGTTTCAAAGAATTAGTTAAAAGAAAACCACAGTTAACTGATTTTTTGGCCAACCTATACATTTAAAATCTCGAATTTGATATGAAACTGATATTAAAATGAAAAGATTTCTCTACAAAATATTGATCTTTATTTTAGGTTCCTATACAGAAAAATTGTGGAGACGACGACATATGCATTCCAGATCTACAGTTGGATGTTATACCGTAAGAATATATTAAAATAATTATTTCATATTTAAGAAAAGTATTTTAATAGTTTAAATTTATAGGAATATGAAAAAATACTTTATCGGAAGCACGGAAAGGATCGATTTGGACGTGACTATATCCAATGCCGGAGAAAATGCTTTTCAGGCATATATGTACTTAAATATGCCACTTGATATTCATTATATTAACATTAATAAAAGCAAATTAGTAAGTTCATTACTTGATATATATCTATAAAATATTTGTATAATGAATTATATATATATATATATCTATATATGTGCATGTTTTTATTTAAATAGCAAGACTATCCAGTGACGTGTACCGGAGCAAAACCTGAAACTGGAATTAATAATTTAGTATGTGATATAGGAAATCCACTTCCAGCTAATAAAACAGTAAGTATTGCATGTAAAACTTGTGATTTTTAGAATAAATTTTATATATTTTTGGTATTTTTTAGTTGAATTTTAAAGTATTGTTAAGGGCAAAGAAAATGATCAACTATATAGAAGGATTTCAATTTAATTTTATAGTGAACAGGTGAGAAAAATTTTTAATTACTTAAATATTTGATAAAAGACATTGGTTTAAGCAAATATATTTTAAAATTTAGTACCAATGCTGAATTACCAGATCGTGTCTTTGATAATAAGCAAGAAGTATATCTTCCAGTTGAAGTTGAAGCAGAGCTTAGTATTCATGGGTAAGGATACATATTAAAAAATAAAACTGAAGTAAAAACATTATCAATATTTATTAAATTATGTAAATTCCAGTGCTTCTGATCCCGAACTTGTTTCTTATAATAAATCCGATCCAATTCCCAAAGAGAAATTCTCAGAAGAAGACATAGGACCTGAAGTTACGCACATATACGAAGTAATTCTCGAGTGCATATTATATTTAGGCACATATAGTGCAATTTTTAATATTTGCCATGTATTTACAGTTGAGAAATAAAGGACCAAGCACAATTAAAACAGCAAATATATACATATTGTGGCCAACGTACAACTTAGAAAAAGAGTTTCTGTTATATCTTACATCAGAACCTGAAATAAAAGGAAAAGAAGCAGCATGCAGAATAAACAGAGATGATATTAACCAGTTATCATTAGAAGTGAATATTGATTTCTTTACATTTTAATAGAATTAAAATTCAATTTATATATATGTTTGATTACAAATCAGATCCAAGAGAAACCCAAAAAACAAGACTTGTTAAATGCCACTGAACTCGGAAAGCAGACTCCTGTACCGACAAAGACTAAGAGACAACGCAGAGAGACTTTGTCACTGGCAGATGAACTGGTAAACACTTTAACTTATTCATAATTAATATTTATTCATTTAACAATGTATCTAAAAATAAAAATTTTTTTTCAGAATTGTGGTCCTACAATATGTACAAAAATTAACTGTTCCGTTACCAATCTGATAGCAGGTAATACAGTCAGTTTCACTCTGAGATCGAGACTGTGGAGAGAGACTATAAATAAGGTATGCTAGTTTACAATTAATTAAATAATATCTGATTACTTTAAAGTAAGAAATTGGGTGTTAACAGCAAATTAAAATTATTTTATGAATATAATTTGTGCTTATAATATTTAGATGCTATGTAGTTAAGTATTGTAAATTACAATATCATGTTTCTATAAATGCAGAGAAAGTTCAAAAATTTTGTAATATTTTTAAAAAATTCTATGTAATATAAATGTAATTTTGTTGCATCATTGATAAATTATCAAAATATTATATGCTTTGAAATAGAATCCTGATTGCATTAATTATAACATTCATTTACTATGGTTCATAATTTAATGAGGATGTTGGTAGGATCACCTCTCTTGCAATCATTATGGCTATGTAATTTATGTAAAACTGAACTGATTTGTCAGTGTGATTGTCTTTTTCATAAAGATTTTAATATAGTTCCATAAATATGAACAAGATAAACTGAAAGTACATATATATCAACAGAGAATTCACAAATTTCTTCACACATCCTGAACTTTCATAATAATCATCTAAGGAACTAAATGTAATAAATTTTTTTGATAGATGTAAAAGGTAAAAATAGGAGCAGTCCATAAATTATGCAACTTGGATATGGTTGGGTATTCAATGTGTTACAATGTGGTGGAGGGTGTTTACAAAAATGTTTGGAGTGCTAGGGTCTGAACCCTTGGGTAACAGAATATTAATTACATGTAAAACATAATTAACATAATGTAAATCAATATGGTTTGTTTGTAAATGTTGCTTAGCAAACTGATGGTCAGTACCCCATGCTGTGTCTTATTCCTTAGTAGTTAAGGAGACTGAAGATATGCATCATGTAATTTTGGAGATGGGCATGTGCTACAGCATTACAAATGAGTGGGATGGTAGTTAAATTATATAATACTATTTTTATACTTTTCATGCATAATCCCATAGCTTTATCTCAACCAGGAAACTTTCTCCTAAACTTCTACTTGAGTGAATATATGTTTTCTTTAATAGAATTTATTACACCGCTTAAAATATGCTGAATTTATTAAAATTATATCTATCAATGTAAATATCTCAAGGGAAATACAGAGAACAGACCATCTATAATGAAGTAGAACTAGTGTAGAATAATATGAGCTTCAGAATGTTATGGTTATATGCATTTATAGCATCAGATATTCTTACTGAAAGATTGAATTATTTTGATAACAGCAAGAAAATATTATAAAGCCAAATATTCTTTGAACTTAATATTTAAGTTGTATATTTTTATAATTTTTCTACAGCTTAATATCAAAGATGTGCAGATAAGTTCAAAACTGGTTGCTATAACAACAAGTCTACCTTTAGGGGTAGATCCTTCAAAGATACCCATCAAATCATATTCGGTAAGTAGTTTCTCTTAATTTTATTGTTATATAAAATTACTTGCATAATAATTTACTTCAAAAATTTTAGGTGTCAACTAAAATAAGTCTAGACGACGTGGGATTGAAATCGGCCATACCTTGGTGGATTTTAATATTAGCGGTTTGCGGAGGGTTACTACTATTAGGTTTACTAGCATTGCTTTTGTGGAAGGTTTGTGTAACTTAATTATTTTAAATAAGGTGACAAAAATATGCACTAACAAATATAATTTAATTCTAGCTTGGATTTTTCAAAAGAAAACGTCCACAGGAAGAATCGGAAAAGCAACTGTTACAAAAGAATGGCTATCAAATGGCGAGAGGCGATGAAGCACTTTAATTCTGAAGCATGCATCAAATTTTGGACTAACTATATTTGACACAAATACCACTTATGGCAGCTATTACTCACAGGATAGATAACATTGAAGGAAAACAGTGCCATGTAATATAAAAATTTTAAAACTAGAAGCCTTAAGGCTCAAGTAAGATGCCATCCAAATAATTTGCTCACTGACAATCTATATTTTTAGATTCGAAAATGTTAATATCATATGCACCAAGTTTTAAAATATAATCGTTCCAGCTCAAGAAAATTTCTAGAAATATATATTTTTTTCAATAAAAAAAAAAGATGGACGAATGGAAAATATTTCTTGTAAATAATTTATTTATTATCGTGTCATAATTGCCCATTTTTAAGACTGTAATTGTAGGTAATATTTGGAATAAAATAGTAAACTGTATTTTGTTTCTAATTTCATCTTCACTTTTATAACAGGAATTTTAAGCTGAATAATAAGCCTTTGGTTACAAATTGCACTGGTAATTTAAAATGTATCCTATGATCGGTTACATATGAAAGCTTAGAATTTCTTGTAAAGAATTAATAATGCACAACACTATTATATAAATTTTGTAAATGAATCTTTTCATGTTTTTATACAAGAAAAATTTTTAAATGCAGATGTAGCTTTATATGCACACATGGTCTCAAGTAATATACTCCTATAGTTTTGATGTTTGGCAGAGACAATCGGTGCTTGTTTCACAAGGTTATAAAGAGACTGTTTTGTGAAGTACAAAATTTTTAGTTGTTAACTTGTTGAGTCATTTGGGTTTCTCAGTCAGAGAAGCTATTTTTATCAAAATGGCTTAACTACAAGACGGGTGACATGAAAATGTTATGAGATCAATTTTGTTCAAATTAAAAACACAATCTAGGGAAAACTGCTTTATGAACAAAAATTAATATACTGTGTATGTTTAAAATAGGAATTTTATTAAATTTTTTTATAAATAAATTAAGCCTTTTGATATCTGTTTTATATTTCTGAATTAGATAAAAAAAAATAATAATATATGCATGAAAATTACAAAACAAATTCACAATAATGATCTTGAACATTGTTTGCATATTGGATATATTGTAATATAGGTCATAAGTTTAGGGATTTTGAAACATTTTTGTTTCAAAATACAGATGAATTAATAACAATGGTTTAGCTTTGTAAGTATGTAATAAATGTATCTGAAAATTGATTTTTGAAATGACTGTATTTACAAAAACTTAAACTTTCAAGCTCATACTTTTGTTGAGGTTATTGAGTCTAAATTAGATCCTCAAATTCTTGTGGATGGTTTAATACAGATACAGTCAATCGCTCCTATAACACTGTTGATAATTCCGTTTTATATGAATTCCATGTTGTACAAGTCACTTAGATTTTACAAATACGTGAGCTGTTCACAGCCTGGCACACATATTTGTAAAATCTAAGTGACTTGTACAACTTGGAATTCATATAAAACGGAATTATCAACAGTGTTATGGGGGTTGACTGTATGTCTGACCTAGGGAACTAGTCAGACAGTTGCTTAATGCTTAAGATGAATGTTTGTTTAGGTCTCTACTGGCCCAGTCAAACTCATGTAACAGTTTCTTAATGCTTAAAAAGTCATGAAAAGTCAGTGTTTGCAGGTCAAAAAGTGAAACAGTCATTACAGCCAAGGTCTAATTTGTAAATATAGTTATGAAGCAATCCTTATAATTTGTTTTTAAATGAAACAAATAAGCTGTGATCAAGTATATAGTAAAAGCTCTTTATTTTATCAATAGTCCATCCTGTTTCAGCAATATAAAAATTTACAGATTATAAACAATTTGATCAAGATCATTTAATTGAAAATTTTTAAATATCTGTATAGTATAAAGTCCAATAAAAATTTTATTCCAGACCTTCAAAGATCAAATTATCTAGACAAATGTTTTCCAATAATTTAAGTACAAAATCTTGAAAAATAAAATTAAATAAATCTATTTTTCTATACAATATTTTTTAAATTATAGAAATATCCTTGTATAAAAAAAAAAACTTCAATTTTCCATTTTAAAATATCTTATTTATCTAAGTAAATGCAAAATTGGCAAGTTAATTAGTGGCATTAAAAATAGTATATAATAATAATAATAATAATAATAATAAGAATGAAGATTTACATTTCTTGGCATAAAATGCTTTTCCTGTACAATTACTATACAAAGCAGACTCGTGACAATTAAAATAATTATTCACAGTCCTTTGGTGCTATCTACATTCATCGTTGGCCACAGAAGAACCAAGTCATTTCCATTCTTCTTAAATGCGGGGAAAGTAACGCTCGAACTTGACTCCACAGCTATGGTTCTAGATTTGTTCCCAAGCATACACTTTAACTGTGCATTAACAAGAACTTGAAGGTCTTTTTTCTCTAACCTATTTTGGAAAAATCAAATGTAGATTTGTTTAATAATTGACGACAATAATAAAATCAACTTACGTCTGCCACTGATGAGCAACGGTTCCAATCAGTTCTCCTATTCGATTGTTATTATGTCGACAAGTCAGAGCCACAACTAAATCGTTTCCTCCTTTCAAGTGCAAGATTATCAACTGATCTGTTCCAGGACTCACACTTATTCCAGTTATCTAACATAATTAATGGTTTAATAATTAATTAATTAAGGTTTTGGTTCTGAAAATTAAAAAAAATAAACTCACATTTTCAAGAGGGATTGGTGATCTCAAAGGTTTAAATTTCTTATTATCCAATTTATATAAATATTTGTCTGTTACAACCAATACTCGTTCTGCACATTTATTATGCCTGTTGATCTAAAAGAATAGAGAGGTTTATAATTTTATTCAGATATATATATATATGCAATACAATTATAGTCTGAATCTACCATTAGATATAAGTCTAAAGACCTATGATTGATTCAGGATAGGATTTCAAAATCTATCTTTTCTTCCAAAATTTTTTAAACCAATTAAGTAACTATGGCATTAGATTCTGATAAATTAATAGCGTAATCCGGTCTTTAGGTTATATTTTACATTCATTCATGTGGCAAATTTAAATTTTAACAAATAAATTTCTTACCTTTCTGACAAAGCTAGAGAATAAAACTCTGCGAAAATGATCACGTGTTTTCAGCGAACCCACAGACGATACAAAACCTGCCGTGTCGTCGTTATCACCAGTCTGAAGTGGAAATTAAAACTATCACAAAATGTTAATAATATATCAAATAATCATTCACATAAATTTGATTTGAAACAATAACCAATAAAATAGAAATAAGCACACATACTCAAAATTGATTTTTCAAAATGCTATAAAAAGATTAATCTTAAGTTTCCTGTAATCAATATTTAATAACTTATGTATCAATAATTCGTAGATACATTTGTGTAACAATAATACTGTACATATATTCTGCAGCTTTTAGTCTAATAATTAAAGCTAACCTTAGCCAAATAATTTCCTTCCCATTTCTGCTTCAGTCCGATGTCTTGTCTCTTTCCACTAAGAATAGCTGCAGCAGTCACTTTCAGTCGTAATTGTGGCCATTCTTCTGGAGGAATACGTTGCAGTACCATGTATGCTCTCCACCTAATGTAAAAATATAATTGATAAAAACAGAACACAATTAGCTATATTACATAAAGCTAAATTTAAACCTGCTGTAAATAGATTTCAAGTTGTTGACATTATTTTTCATAATGTATGGAGGTGTAGGCCAAACTATATGTTTACCATAATCTTTCATTGTTTTTGCATTCCTAGAAACAAAAATAAAACGAGTAATTTAACTAGGTAACAAGTTAATTCATGTTACATTGTTGAATTCATACTAACTTGAAAAGGTTCAGAAGTTGGTTGACGTATGACCTTGTTTTACACTTACGATAATAACGCAAGATCGTCAGAGCAGCTTTCATTTTCCTATATCTCATTCTTGCTATGGTACCTCTCCACATCTAAAGTTAAATTTTTAATTTTTATAAATAAGACACACTAAGTTTGATTAATTGTATAATCTTATGTTACCTTCTGTAAAAAGACTACAATCCCTGGAATGAGATCGGCCCTCGTCTGTTCCAATTTTGCAATGGTTCGGGGAGATCTTACGAATATTTTGCTTCTTCCGTACTTCACATCATCTGAAAACCCCTGTTCATCGATTAAAACTCTGCATCCGTCTAGATCAGAACCGCCTCGAAAACTGGGCCAGGTGTACTTGGAAATCATTTTATATCTAAATGCATTTATAAAATTTGTAAAGAAATATATAAGCAAACAAGTAATACATTAAAAAAATCAAATCATACCTTCGTAAAAAGCGATCGTATGCTTGTCTGTAAGCAAAGCCTGCTCTTCTAACCCTAACATTCTCTAATAAACCTAAATAACAGACTTGATGAGAAACACGTTCGTAATCAAACAGAAGTGGCGATTTGTGATCATTGGGTTTTACGCATCTCACATAATAAGGTTCCTGTAAAATGTTATATAATGCATAAAATAATAATTTTTAATCATCAAAAAAGAACTAAATAAATGAAGATGTATGTCACGTCTTACTTTAGAAGCAAGGTTTTGCACCAATGCAATCATTGAATTTTTAAATAAAGTTCCAGCAGTCAAAGGCCTTTTTGTTACCTAAAATTATTCACTATTTGATTAGATTTACTTCGACATGTGCATGTAAATAAATAATTTTTAAAAACTCACCTGTGTAACATCTTGAGCCCCATCAATCCACATACTTTTAACAAATTTATTAGAACTATAAATTAAATAAATTTTTAAAATTATTACTTCCAAAATAATCTGCATGTTTCTAAATTAGCAAAATAATACACAATTATTGTAAAAGCTTGGAAAATATTGTATTATTGATGTTTTTCAATGTTTAAACAGAATTAATAAACAAATCTGATATATACAAACTGTAAACAAAATGTTTTTATTACTCTAAAATATGTTTAATTACAACAATAATACTGAAACAATTTTAGAAAATGATAAATAAAGTTTTTAAAATTAATTATTGAAATAAATTGTGATATATTAAAACAACACAATTCCAAACGATTGCGGGATTACGTCGGGTTATATTAATGCTACTAATTGACAATTAAATTTCATGTGATTTGGCTTTAAGATAGATGTTAAGTGCCATCTCTTGATAAATTTAGTAATTATAATTAAATTAATAATTATTAATTTAAAAATTTCTGGAAGAAAAGAATTAGCCTGAAGTGGGACTCAAACTCACGACTTCCACATATTNTTCAGTCACTAGTGAACTCCTGCTTTAAAAGATAATGACAGCCTGACGTAACCCAGCAATTGTTTGTGATTATCTAAAAATTGGGTTTACAGATGCTTATAGTCAACACATAATTCAATTTGATAAAAATATAACTATTGTTAAGTCACACTTTCCCCTTTTGCCAGTCCAGTAGCTCTCAAATGATGCACCAAGGCACACTGATCTGCCATAGGAAATGGCTATATTTGTCATGAATGTTATGAAAGTTTTTTTAAAAATGAGAAGAAACCAATTCATACAAAGACTTGTTACATCCATGATGAACTAATAGCTTAGACTGACGGTTTACTACACAGCTATTTATAATTTAAAATAACATAACATATTTTTAATTCTGTACAGAAAAATGTTTTATAGTGAGCCATGAGCAAAATTTGAAAACTACAGCTCTATTACATTCTAATTTTGATATATATGTGTAATACAGTTAAACATAATTTATAAAAAAGAAAAAAACTCAAAACATTAATGTAAAAAAGGAATATTTTACATCATACTATAAGGAATTGTATGGAAAATGTATACTGTGTAAAATATTCTTAGGAATTAACTAATTAATATCTACAAATGATTTTTCTTCAATTTCATCTTAATAAGGAAGTTAATACATTTTTCAGGAAGTTACTTATGAAAGAAATTTCACTTCATTGAGATTTGTTTAATGTAATTATGATTTTAATTCAACTTAATTACACATGATAAAAATTCCGAATGACATTTTCAACTCATAAATTCTAAAATTAGAATGTTTGGAAAGTGTTTTAATCTTTGTTTAATTGAAAGGAAGTAAAGACATTATTCTTCAACCATCAAAGAACGGACACACAATCCATTTCAGAATTTATATTTTTGATTTTGCTTACTATAGATCATATATTCCATAATGAAATCATTCTGAATATTGTTTAATATTTATTTTTTCTTTAACATCTATTGTTAATTAAATATCACAATCAAGCATTTATTTAATAAAATTTTGTTTTTGGGCTTTAAAATTTTAAAAAGAAAAACTGATTTTGTTTTAATGAACAACTTTATTTTGATTTAATCTAGTAAAATATTCTAGAAATCTTGCAATAGAAATACAACTGAAAGCTGTTACAAATTATAAATACATCATATTTAGCTTTTATTTTTAATCTTACTATGATTTACTTCCTTGTCAAATGTAATTTATTTAATATAAAATAAAATTATCACATAAAAAAAAAATATATAGAAATTTTAAAATATTTCTTGAAGTATTGTTCTGACAATACAGCAAAACTTACTCATAATATCAAAACTGCTTTTCATTCTTTAAATTGATTTGATTTATTAGATTATAAATCATATGTAACCTTGAACACTTTCACTTTTGCTCCATAATTAAATCCTAATTATTAACTTATTGTTGAAAATATAAAATAATCAAACAAAATAAAACTGTCAAAATAACTATGATTAATAACTAAAAACTGTACAATGAATTACACATACAGACACTTGCACTAGTATACACCAACTATTATTGTGCCATGTTTTTGAGTTTATAAACAAACATTAATAGTGTTAAAAATATGTTACAACTCACCTACTATGAAGTAATCTTTTAAAATCTTGAAATAACGTATCTTTATTTTTATCTAAGAATCCCAAAATTGAATAAGTTACATCTCCGGCATAGTGACGAATACGAAAATCTCTCTGATGCTCTAAACTCTTATCTGTGGGAACCAGCTGCAAAGCAAAGATGTAACATTAAAAATTATTTTATGCTTTTCAAATTATTTAATTAAAGAAAATTAAAATTCATGTATTAAGCAATTACTTAAATCATTTTTTTAATATAAAACATTTTTATAATCTAAAAAATTCAAAAATAATGTTTGCAACATTGTATAAATAAGCTATATTTAATACACATCAATGTAATTTAATATAAATATGATAAAGCACTGACAAATGCATGATTCATGACTGTATTACTCAGACTGCACAGATTTTTATCATTATAAAACTGCTTTAATGGATTTTATTGGCTAGAAAGGATGCCTCCTGGAAGAAGTTTATGGAAAACTAGCCCCCACTTAAGTGTTAGATATGACAAAACCTAGAAAAAAACTCCATGCAGCTAGCCTGTTCATAAAGTGTAAACCCACAACTAACTACCGGTGTTCAGTGATTTATCCATTCAGTCACTAGTGAACTCCTGCTTTAAAAGATATTAAACAAACAAAAAAAAAAAAAACCTTAAAAAATGTCCAAGAGCTTTCGAACTGTAATGCTCATCAAGATGCTTATCTTGGAAATTAATATATCATTAAAACATGAACAGCAAAGTTCTTTCACAACATTATTGCATTCTTAATGATTATTATAGTTTGAAAACACTTGGACATGTTTTGAATTTTTGTTATAATTACAGATCATCATGTGAAGTAAAGTTTAAAATAGAAAAAAGTTTTTTAATTTATATAGAAGTCTGTTATAACCTAATAAATATGAACATGTATTTCTGGATGTATTACAAAACAAAATATTCTATATATAGATACACGTGTCTTCCATCTATACATAAATTTAACAGAATCAATGAGTCATTCTTACCTTTCTACTACTGTAATGTTTGTGATTTGCTAACCTTAGATCCATGGCTTCTAACAACATCTAAAAAGAAAATGTAAAGTTAATTTTGTTCTAATCTAAATTAAATATTACAATGACAGAAACTAGATCTTACTTCATCTGTTATTTTTCCAACATTTAAACAAGCCTCGTCGGCAATAGCTAATATTCCTTTGTGTGGTTCCTCTACAAGATTACATATGATTGCATTGTTAAAATATTCTATATTTTGCCATTCAATGCCTTCTCTACGATACTCCTCTTGTTCTTGTTTTAAGACCAATTCGATAAAAAGTTGTTGTAATTTCTCATTACAATAGTTAATACAAAACTGTTCAAAGCTGTAATTTTTTATAAATATTGTTTAAATTGTGTAAAATTGGCATTTTTAAATTATTATTAATACTTTACCTGTTTCCTTCAAATATCTCAAAACCATAAATGTCTAGTACTCCAATTACAGTATTTTTACCAGGAATGTAACCAGACATCTGAACTTCAATTGCTTCATTCACTCGGCTTACAATCCACGAAAACATACGTTCATATATTGCCTAACAAATATTTTTATGTATATAGAGTATGCCATAGAATAATCCAAACAAAAGTTTTATAAAGCTTAATTTACCTTAGCAAAAGCATCTCTACCATAATATGCTTCTGCTACAGTGTGTCCTTTAGCCATAATCTCACCTCTTGCAGCAATAACACGTTGGCACAGCGCTTTCTTGGCATCTTCAATTTTTATTTCAAGTAGCTCACAAAGATTTTTAAGAGAATTTTGATTCTTTATACAAGTTTCGTCATCTTTTGTAGAAAACTCGACATTACCCTAGATTAATTTATAGCAGAAAAATTGATTTAATTAAAAATTTGTACTGTTAAGTTAAACATTTATATTATAATATAGGTCAAATAGAAGAATAACAACACTTATTTAATTAGTAGGTGACACATTTAATAGATATTAATTAATAGAAATTGAATAAATTTTTTTTATTGTCATAAGTAATGTACAATTCTTACCAAATGAATTATTGCAGCTACAATTTTCCACAATGTGTTAGTTTGGTCTTCTAAAAATCCCAAAGTTTTCATAGCCCCACATACTCCTCTATAATCGGATTTATCATTTATACTGTCTACCTAAAAATACAGAAATAAATAATGTATACAAGTACTAAGTGATTATAATAACACACTTTACATATATGTTAATATTAAAAAGAATTGAATATGTCTGATATTTTATGCATCTTTTTATTTATTTCTTTATCATCTTTCAATACAATATTTACATATATACTTATTGTGATCAAGGTTATTCTTTAGAGGTCAGATCAAGGTCACAACATTCTTTAGTGTGAAAGGAATGCACTAGAATGACAATGCAAGTAGATGTTGCTCTATTTTTGACAGCTTACTCTTGATTTTACATTACTTTCATAGAGTTTTGGCTATATACAAAGATAAAGCACTTTAATCAAGTAATAAAGTAAACTTTCATAATAAAGACCAAAACTACAACATATTTTACAGATTATAGTGTGTTTAGCACTTCCTACAATGCCAATATTCCATATAATACTGAACGATTCTTTAATTATCAATCAAGAAATGATTGTTACAAACAATATGATAAATGTACAGGATATTGACAGAACTATTTTTATAATTCTAAGAATGCATTTGGAATTTAACAAATTAAATATTTTGACTATAGTATTTGGGGTTCTTAATATTTACTTATTTAAATAATTATCAAATAAGAGCAGATAAGATAAGTACATATCCGCAATTTAATAAAAATTCAGGTCATGTTTTGTCTCCTTCTGATAGCCTATCAGTTGTTATTTTAGTTTCATTTTAAATGTAATTGTAATTCATACATAAATTATTTTAAAATTAATTTTAATTAAAAAAAAAAAAAGTCAAACAGACAATTTAGTAGCATAATATAGATTAAACGATAGAAATATTTAATATTAGAATAATATAATTATATAAAATATTAAAAAGTTTTTGTTGTTGTTGTTGTTATTAATAAATATTAAATTTTTATAAAAGCTAAAATATAGGTTTAATTTGTACAAAGAATATGAAAAACTATAAATATATAAAACTATAAAAGGCCCTAAATAATTATATATAGAGCCTTTATAACACTCACACACACAATAAAACTTTACATGTAAAAGATTTAAAAGATCTAGAATAAATTTAACTGAGATTATCAGTTAAATTTATCAAAACTATTAATATTTTAAAATAGAACATAATTACTAATGTAGTAGAGTTAAACAGAAAATAAATTCCAATTTTTCTTCTTATAGTTAAATAAAACTTCACTTTAGAAAGAATAAAATAAGTAAAAAAATGAGTAAAAAATTTATAAAATACTTAAGATGCATACTTTAAGATTTCCACCTTGTTTTGTGTACACGTATTCTTGAGCATCACTTTTAAGATGGTATTTCTGCAATACATCACTTGGACAACCATACAATAATTGGTAGAATGAATGGAAATTTCTTTCACCTTTCTGTTGACTCACTACTCTAGACTAAAAATTAAAATAAATTCATTTAAATAATTATTTTAGTTGAAACTTATTGTAATTTCATCACTTATTCACTTCTTTTATACAAATTTTAACAAAAATTACTTAAAGAGATTAGGAAGAGGGGGATCAATTTATATAATAAGCTCCAATTTGTTCCAATTCTTTTGTAGAGATGGCACAATTCACACTCAATTATTCTTAAATGGTATTACGGATACAATCAATAGGACAGAAACAACATCAGAAAGATATATTTTATTAATTTTGATTTAATAATGAATAATTCAGACTTTACATGCATTTATTACAACGATTCAATTTTCAGAAACAATGAATCTTTCTAATTTAAAATTTAAATTTATGTTAAAAGGCATATAAAATATTTGATCAGTAAATTGAAGTTAAATTTAATGAAACTTAAATATAATTTTTTTAAAAAAATCCTTAATTCTGGTTTTAATGTTAATTAGCTTATAATGTGCATTAATAGTTATAAAATGTTTTTTAATAAAATAAAATTGTTTAACAATAAACTGAGTCTATGATTTCAGATATCACATTTCAATGAAGTAAATTGTTACATCTAATCTTTCAAAATAATATAGTACAATTAATTAATTGTACAGTACTTAAGTGACAATAAACTATTTCAAACACAGTTTAGACACCCTATACAAATCACACTATATCAAATACAGTACACCCTAGTTATATCGTGTTAATTTGTTGTCTTTCAAATATAAAAGTGTTTAGCCAATAATGGATGGATACATCATCACACCATCTGATATATCACTCATTTAGTTTGTCTCCATACTATATAAACACATGCCTACTTTATACACAAATTAAGACAGGTATTCTATAACATAATACCTAAACTATCTTCTAATTCAATGGCTCATGCATTATATCTGTGGATCACTGGTGATCCTCAATCCATCTATAGTGGTTCATGGATGATACCCACTGTTTTATTCCATTTAATCATTTATATTATATGAACATATATCAGTGTACATCTAATTATTATACAATAATTTAAGATAAAGCTATTTAAGTTTATTAAAACTCAAATTTAATATATGAAAGCAATAGAAACAAATTTAAAGTAAAATTTAATTGCTTCAATTATATAATAAACAAAACTTAAAATATTAAAGTATTAAATATTTTCTAAATATCTTTTCTAAATATATATAACTAGCTGCATATTGCAGCATTGCTTAGACTTTTAAAGGTTGGGATTTAGGAATAGTTTGAGGATCTCCACAGTATTTTTTTTATGTTGCCAAAAAATATTTATTCCAAATTTGGTGTGGATACATTCAACAGTAAAAAACCCTTTACCTAACATACATAAATACATATTTTGACTTTTATGCAGTGGCGTGCCACCCATGGTAGCTGTGGAAGCACCACCTCCCCTATATTTCCTAAAGTATAAATACATATTGTGCGATTAGTTTAATATTTTAATGTACTTTCAAGTAATTAAAATTAATATTTTATTATTTCCGCATTATATATCTTATTACAAATTCCTATACTATGTGTGTGAAAAAAATGATAAGATTGTTATTGTATATTCAAATATAAATTCATATGTGCATACTTCCAATGGAAGCACTCTATTTTCGAATACAGGACAGCTTCCACAGCGAAAATATCTGAATCGCGTAAAGCAGCCAGATTTACAGACAATCGCACATATGCTTTACACAGCACCAATCTCACATGGATACTACACTTCAAAATATCATATAACGCTTCCAATGATTGTATCCAGGACCGGCACAGCTTCCCTATCGTAAAATGTCACAACATGCCACTGCTTTTATGTATATAGATAATTAATTTAATACTTATATTTACCTTTTCAAGTAAATAATTATTGATGTGTCCACCTAATGGATCTCCTTTAAAATCAAAATTGATGTCCATATATTTACCAAACCTGCTGGAATTATCATTTCTATTTGTTTTTGCATTACCAAATGCTTCTAAAATACAATTTGATTGCAGTAATACATTTTTCACTCTAAAATATAAAAAAAAAGTCACAGATTAAATTTTTTTTAATGTAAATCTTAATTATCCTTAGTAAAACTATTCACTATGTTAGGAATTCTTAATCCAACTTCTATGATATGATTGATTGTATATGGCAACTTCACACTTGAATGATCTGCTGAGGGAGATGCCTCTGGGAAGGGCTTTTAATGGGAAACTGGCCCTTATTTAGGTGGTACAAATATGAAGAAAACCCAGAAAACTTCATGTCGCAGGCCCACTGGCAAGGTGCAAACCTACACCAACTACAATAACATATCCCCACTCTGGTGTGTCTGATATAAGAAAATTTAGTTGTTTGTTGAATAAGTTTCTAATTAATTAAATATATTATTTGTTCTATCAATTTTGAATATTCATTTTGATAAATTAGTTCTTCCTTTTTAATCCAAAAATATAACCCAAGTATTTTCTTAGCTTTTCTTCTTTGTTGGAATTTATTTGATCATTGGATATGGAGCAGAATTTGTCTGTGATTCATAAGAAAATTGTTTTGTTAGATGAAATATTAAATGAGTACAGTATTCAATAATACAATACAAATAAAGTTAAATTTAATTAGTGTTTTGCTACAATTATAGAAACTAAATAGAAAAAAAATTCATTTTTTAATTATGAATTGAAATAAAAAGATTCTTTCATATCCTATATATAAGATGTATAGATTGTCCCCATAAATTTAAAACCATAGGAGTTACGTTAGTCTTTATTTATTTGTTTAAAGGTAAAGCCTGGTGCTGAGCAAGGAGGAACAAATTCAAGTTATTTTAATGGTGAGATTTATTTTAACTTCATGCTGACCAGCAGTCAGCATGAAGTTGCCAAAGAGGCTGCATCCAGACTGGTGTGTATGATGGATGGAAGTCTGGATGCAGCCTATCAAACTATAAAAGAATAAAGATTAATTAACATAACTCCTATGGTTCCAGACTTTTCTGACATTCTATATATGCAAAAGAAGAGAGTAATGATCAACAGTCTTAAAAACATCTCAAAAAAGTTTCTAAAATGTATTTAAAATAATATAAACAAATAATTAAGCAGCAGTAATGAGTTTTAAGTCAGTCTATTTGTATTATTACTTTTAAGGCACACTCAAACTTTCTAAATATTTTGGATATTTATTTTATAATTCATTACTAGGAAAATTAAGTAAGAATATTAATTTTTCTATTTACTCTACATAGAAAATATTCTACATATGAGATAATTTGTTCTGGAAAATTAGTTATACTTCCCAGGAGGTCTGTATTTTGTAGACTAAGAAATTTAAAATACTAATTAAGCACAGATGTGCAAGTACAATGACTTTATTTTATGAAATCATGTATCTGCATATGTATGTCATTATAATAATTCTTAAAAAATGTGTAATTACTTAAATTACTATAATGTAAAAATAATATAATAAAACTTATTCAGTATAATTAATTTTGTGATTCATTTTAATCATTATTTGATAAGCAGTAACTAATATAATTTTCGAGAATCAGAGCAGTATAAAGTGCAATAAAGATTAAGAACCTTAACTCTGTATTAATAAAACTACTCATTCGAGATACCTTTCTATTTCCTGTTGTCCACTTGTGTTTGTAATGGCAGCGATGTATCTCATAATTATCTTTGAGGCCTCTGTTTTCCCCGATCCACTTTCACCTTAAAAGTTTAGTTATCATTATTATATTATTACGATAAATAAAATACAGCTTTTATAATATTCAAAACTCTTTTTATGTATGTAGAATACATTTACATTATAATCAAGTGTAAACATTTATTTTTAGTTATAAATAATTCATGCATTAAGTAACTATTATTAAATTTTTTTTTCTTTTTAAATTTAACAATGTCTGTAATAATAAATAATGTATAATAAACTTAATTAAGTGCTTTAAACTTAAATATAATAACAGATAACCATCAGATATGGGTCGGATGAAGGCAATAGAGGCATTAGCTACTATTCTGAGAATATCACATTGACAGAAATAGCTCCAACACTTATCTACCTGGGGTCCGGTCATAACTAATTTTAATAATATTTTAATAACACTGAAGTTTCGGTATTCTACAGCAACTTACATTGCATGTCTGAACGCCAAACCACATGTTAGACTAACATGTGTTTGAACAATACAACACACACAATTATGGCCTCTCGTTCAAACACACAATATAAGCCTCTCGTTGTCGTTGGATACCAAAACTTCATTATTATTAAAATTAATTAACCATTAAGCCCCCCGGTCACTTTTCTGCAAGCCTTTTAAATCTACAATCATAAAAATCTATATCTATAAGCATAAAAAAAGGCCCAATTTGTACCAATAAGGCAGGTAAACACCCACCTGATATGACAATACAAGTGTCTTTTGCACTTCTCTTCATTGTTTTATACGCAGCATCTGCAATGGCAAATATGTGAGGCGGTCTCTCGAATATCTCTCGTCCTCGGTACTCGTTTATAAATTCTTGGCCGTAGATATTCATGTTTCGATAGGGATTAACGGATACACACACCTCTCCGATGTAAGTGTATATTTTTCCGCCATTATATCTGGAATACAACGGAATCATGTAGTATCTTTTCTAACAATGGTCAGAGATTTGTTAACAAAGTATATTTTTAGAAAAATTTATATGCTTCACTGTCACTCAACAGAAAATATTCAGATCACAAGAAGAAAGCAAATCTTTTCCTGGTAAATATAAAAGTAAATCTTGATCTCTCAAGCAGATAGAATCAATTGTATGGTCAATCTATTTTTAAGTACTGATTTTATAACTCGAGTAGATGATAAAGATAATGGTGGGTATCTTGAACTACAGTATAAATATCTTTAATAGTAGTTATGTTTATTATATACAATGTATTGAACCATTTTCAGAATTTTTTTTATATTTTTAGTTAGTTTAAAATCTGGCATGCAGTTGTCTCCCCTATATTTCCTAAAGTATAAATACATATTGTGCGATTAGTTTAATATTTTAATGTACTTTCAAGTAATTAAAATTAATATTTTATTATTTCCGCATTATATATCTTATTACAAATTCCTATACTATGTGTGTGAAAAAAATGATAAGATTGTTATTGTATATTCAAATATAAATTCATATGTGCATACTTCCAATGGAAGCACTCTATTTTCGAATACAGGACAGCTTCCACAGTGAAAATATCTGAATCGCGTAAAGCAGCCAGATTTACAGACAATCGCACATATGCTTTACACAGCACCAATCTCACATGGATACTACACTTCAAAATATCATATAACGCTTCCAATGATTGTATCCAGGACCGGCACAGCTTCCCTATCGTAAAATGTCACAACATGCCACTGCTTTTATGTATATAGATAATTAATTTAATACTTATATTTACCTTTTCAAGTAAATAATTATTGATGTGTCCACCTAATGGATCTCCTTTAAAATCAAAATTGATGTCCATATATTTACCAAACNATATATATCTAGCGTTTCGAAATTTTAAAAAATATAGAAAATTAATAGTGAAAAATTTAGCGGAAATTTAAAAAAAGTGAAATAATTAGAGGGCGTTATCATCATTGTTCCACTCAGTTAAGCTTAAACGGACCGATCAATAAGTAAGAGAAACCATTTAAAAACAATTATTTTGATGTTTTATACCATTACAATTTATTTAAGTCAAGAAAAATAAATAATCTATTTTTAAAATTCCTTCTAATAAAAATTTTCCCTAGAAATTTTAATTTATCGACATTTTTTTCTGCCTGTCTTGGCCTTTTATATTCAAAATAAGTCATTAATATTTCAACAAATGAAGATAATGTATTATGTGATGTCATTAATTAATAACAACTAACTTTCTACATTTTGTATTGTTATATTTATAACAATTTACTGATTGAGAATTGTTAAAGAAAAATATATTGAGAAAATTTTATTATAGAAAAACAAATTAGTAAATAATTTATTCATAAAATAATACATTATTGTTAATATTTATTCAAATTTAAAACTTTAAATTACGCAACACATCATTCAACGAATGAGAGATGAGATTTGTCTAGACGTCACTATTCATAGACATCGATTATCATAATAATTTTTTTTTTTTCATAAATTGCTTTATTTTTTTATTGCGACATCGTTTAAATATTATTAATATTTCAAATACTACATCACATTGAATAATCGCTGTCCCGTTTTCGCAACCGAAACTAGGACACTACATATATGATACATTTTTCCCTTATAGGAAACCTATCATTTAAAATCCGAAAAGAGAGAGAATTAATGTGGTACAGATTTAACTTTCTTCGACATTAAAAAGCATCCGAATCATAAAAATACTCATAAAACCTTTCATTAAGATGTAACGCTCTACTTCAGCCGGTGCTAAGTAGAAAAAAAATAATAATAAAAATTGCATCGGCTCGTACCACTTCTCAGAACATAAAACAAGCGAGAATCTTTCTGCTAGAATGTATTAAACCAATGTGGATAATTAAAAATAAAAAGCAGTCAATAAGTTGATGAAGATGTACTTTAATAGATTCTTCTTCTTCTTCGATCGTAGTTCAGTTCTAATTAACCGTGACACGTCACCAAGTTATTTTTTGAACCCGAAATAAAACTGATACTAGCCATTTCTGTTTATGTTTATAATATCCCCAGTGGGATTTATACGTATAATACTGTATAAAATATTCATTATATACAGGAAACAGATCATGAAAGCGAATTTAAGTACCGGGTTTTTCTTTTGCCATTAAAAATAATTGGCATGGTTAGTAAAATTATGCTCATTTTGCCTTAAAAATAATGATTTTATAATGATTACAATAACAATTTCGATTTGGAATGTAAAAAAGAAATTAAATCTATAAGTTATTTATTTTCCAATTTAATGATATAAACATTGATTATTGTTTGAACTAATTGATAATTTGGCCAATAGGAAAATTGTTTTATTATTATTATTATTAATATTATTCTTTAAATTTAAAAATAAGTAGTTTTATTTATCAATTTAAAAAATTAATAGAAATTTTAATAAATTTAATTTAAACACGATAGCAATTTAATATAAAATGGTATAATTTCAATAAAACATAATTTTATAAATGTAATTACTATAAAAATGTCAAATAAATAATATATAGTCAGTGACTGAAACAATAATTTATATATTTAACAATGTATGACGTATAAATTAGTCATCATTTTCGTTTTTATTTTGCTTTTACACCATGATTAAATTTCAATTATAATGATATTTAATACCAGAGAATTTTTAAATTAAAATATAATTTTAAAAATTAAATAAATAAATAGCATTATCGCTGAATGCTTTATTTGAATTTCTTTAAATATTAAATCAGTTATTTAATATAATTTAAATTTCGAAACCGATCATAAAATTATTGCGTCAATTTGACGTCATCTTTTCAGTTTTACAACGAAAAATCATAAAGAATGACGTCAAATTTACGTAAAACGTGCGCTATCTGAAACAATCGAAAAGCTTATTTTTTTTTAATTTTGAATAGACCAATTAAAAGTTATATTTTTAAAATTTTAATTTTAAAATAAACCAATAGCAAAATATATATATAGGCCTATATATTATATAAGAAAAACCTTTAATATTTCAAATAAATCGATAAGATTAAACGGAATTTTGAATGACTTTTTCAAAAATGGCGTATAAAATTCTCAAAACTTACTTCAATTACGATTGAAGTGTTTAATAAAACTGCAACTCTATCCGTCCAAAACACTTGTTTTCAAGTATAAGAATTACTCAGAATATAATAATTTTTAGTATTATTTTTTTTATTGTTATTTTAAATTCTCTCCATTCTAAAAATGTTTCAATTTTCATCAGAAAGGCGGAACGTAGAATATGGGAAGAACTAGCGAATCGTAAAAAAACATAATCGCAGTATTCTAGATACTATTTGTCAGATTAATAAAAATTCTCAAAGCGTAACGTGGAGAGAATATAACGTATCGAAGGTCGATAAAGAATGCATAATTTTTCACTCATACCAAAACGCCTACGCCTCCAATCAGGTTCGTTTACATTAATTTGTAATCCAAGTTGCCAAATTAGTACATACAGTTGTTTACACGACTGATACAAGCTTTAAAACGGAGACTAGCGATTCACCAATGCACACGATCGTTTGATTACAGTTCATTCACTTCGGAGTTAGAACAATAAATTATAAAGAAACTCTAGAGTTAAATTAGCTTAATACATCATCATATGTCAATTCTGGCATGCATTGCTTGTGCAATATCGAGTATTCTAGTGTTTGCTTCAATTATACTTTTATACAGTATAAAGAATTCAGTGAATGTAATATAGTTTCGCGTAACAATTTAAATATTGTTATAATTTAATGATAATACAGCTTACTGTAGGTTTAATTTCTATGTTTACTTATTAGTCATTTGTTATATTTTACTGTATATTAAACTGAATATTTATGGGTTTTCATCTTAAAAAAACTGTCCAACTTCTAACAGAGGGATTGATTAAACACACAAATACAGTCGAATCTCCAATGGAGACCATTTTCGTCGGGAACTTTTTTTTAATAAAAATGCATACAAAATCTCCGATCAACGGCCTTTTTTTTCTGTTTCCCTCAGTACCCGTGCCAATTGTTCAAAGATTTGATTGTACTTATGTCAACGGTAAGTAGAAATTTTAGCATACGGTCTGTCTGTTCATTATACAAAAGAGAGTATAGCAGTGTTATAAATACAGTACTGTATTTACTGTATTTATAAATAAAACTTTAGAAATTCGAAATCATTTATACAAACGAAAATCTAATATTTTTAGATTATTTTATATTCACTATTAAACCAATAACTTGGTTACAGTTGATCTATGTTAATTTATATAGGCTACATTCAGAATCAAATAAATCATCTTCTAAGAATCCTGCTTATCTATTTGGAATGAGTAATCCAGCTCCACTATCCAGTGTAACTTGGCTTAGTCAGTCCAAATATTATGTAGCATACATTCAACTATCATTTAACTTCTGTTTACATCGGTTAAACTTCTAAATTCGAAATTAAATGGCGGTGTAAGGTAATATATTTACTTCACGGCTTAACTTTATTTTTAGTTTTTTCCTTTTAACAGCGTGTAGAGGTAGAGAAAGTTCCTCTTATCGAATGCTTTGACGTCGCGCGTGGGAAGCGGAACTTTACTAGCTGTTATCGCGTGAAGTCGCGTCGCTTATTGCATATAAGCAATAGCCACTTTTTTTTCTTTTCAATATAATACGTTCTGCCTGATTGATTTTTAACCATTCAAAAACTTTCTTTACGGTTACAAAACACTCGAATCTCTTACGTCATTTTGCACGTTTAGACCTAAACACGGTAATCGCTCAAGCGCATCTCTAGCGATAAAACGATACGCTGAAGTAAATTTATTAATATTTAATAAAATTATACGTATGTAAATATCTATATATATATCACTATTTTGCATTTTAACCTGTTTATTTTTGTGTGTATAATTTAATTTCACATCGTTACTATTCGCTGATTGCATCACTTATATATACGAGTTCAGAGAATCCTCATTTTAACTGGAAAAAAAATACTAAAAATAATTTAATTATATTTTGATTGAGTGATTTTTATTGCTTTTTTTTAATATTTTAAAGAGGTTAAACGCGTACGTTTTCTAAAATGCAATATTAAACGAACGAAAAGTCGTGTGACGACCTTCGTTTAGACGAGATGCGCTCAAGTGATTATGGATGCTGGTTTATAAAAATAGATAAGCATCAAAACCGTAATTTACTACAGAAAACAGGTAGCAGAATTTAATTTTTGCAAGTTATAAAATAAAAAACAAAAAAAATGTTAAATCATACCGAAAGAATATTAATTTTCTGCAGCGAAAAAAACAAATCTTGAAATGTCCTTCAAAAACTACCATTACGTGCGATAACATTAGACCTGTATTTTATAGCAAAAACTATCGCAACCTGTTTATCAATGAAATTTTAAATATTTTTTAAGCTACTATCACACCCAAATCTAACACAACTACCAAGATTTTAACAAAGAAGTGGCATATTCTCCATAAAAAATTATCGTGAGTGGGTTCTACGTTCGAAGTATCTAATCTTCGAAACTGATACAACCCAGTGTAAAGTAACAAGGGAACAAGTAATGACTCCTTATCTTTATTAATGCCCGTATAGCGTGGGACAAAAAAAAACACACTAATATATTTATATGGTATTATTTTACATTCTTATCCTTCTGCACGCACTTAGAGGTGACAATACGTGCACCATTTAATTAAGAATCGAAGTTAAAAAAAAAACGGAGAGATTTAAAAAAAACTACTGTAATGCACGATTTCTTAAAATAGGTTAAAGGTCATCTTTCTGGTAACAATTAAAATGGAGGGAGGACATATATATAGCGAAATGTAACCTCGCCCGGGGATAACAGTTTAATGGAAACTGGTTCGTGTTTCGGAACAGAACAAGAAAACAAATGACCCGATTTTGTAAAGAAAGGGCAGTTTGGATGATGATGATGTCGATTTAATCGAAAATGATTTTTTTTTATATTGTTTGCCTGTTTTTGTTCGACTGTCGAAACAACAAATACCATATTTGGTAAGCAAGCAAAGTGCAGACATCACACACCTATTTCCTGCTGATGAATACGGAAGGTTTGTCAGGAAGATTAAAGTGCGTCTGGTTTTGATTTAAATGGTCAAAGGCCTAAGGTTTTTCAACACTAAAACAACACTCGAATGGGAGAGGAGGTAGAAAAAAAAGGCTCTCCCCCATTCGCTGTGCTGATGACACGAACATAAATAGAACACTGACGTGGAGACATGTGTATTACGCTCGGTCGAATGATGAAAAGTTATATTTATTACACGAATTTTCTTGTAATGCTTTTTTTTTATACTGGCTCTTCTCCAGCCTTAAACATAAAAGTTTACTGGAAACGTCGCACGCCCGAAAGACGCCACTTGTTAAGATCGATCGGCACCCGTTTCGAGGAGAAAAACCTACAAATTTCCTCAAATAATACAGAAATTTCTGGAAAACCAAACATAACACCTGGTTCGAAAACAGATCGGTAACACAACCCGCAGGAAGTGTGACGTCATTATCAAACACGAAACTTGCTGTGTGATGAAATATGAATCATCTGCAAGATACGAGCCGGTTAGGTAACATTTTCGAATCGATCAACAATGCCCTAAATTATCCAATTAATCGATTATTTGACTAATCGAGCGATCCGCCATCATTCCAAGGATCGTGACATCACGAAGTGACTCATTGAAGATCAGGTATCGAAGCTGTAATATAGTCTGGGATATTGCCCAAGAAGAACAGAAGAGGTCCAAAAACACACACAAAAAAAAGAAAAAAATCCCACGTGATGTGTCAAAAGGGCGAGTTGAATGACAGCAGATAGACATCGGATTCTATTGTGTACGTTTTGAACCTATAAAAATCAATAACTGATACAGAAATTAACGTGACTGACACAGATAAACTGTATATAATGAATTAAAATCATATAATACATCGTCTTCAATTAATTTCAGAGATTGTAAACAATTGAAATAGACAAAAAACTTTTTGAGAACACTCAAACACACAAAACATCGCACACATGTCTAGTGTTTAGTACAATTAGAGGTCTTTCCATTTATATTTTTTCTGTTATAAAAAGCATCTGCGGTATTCCACGTTTTTTTAAGGTGGTCAAAGCATTCTAATCTATTCAGCTAACGACAAAAGATATTAAACCTGTCTAGACAACAGTTATGTTATCAGGTTAGCGGGAATTTGATTTTTTTATTAAGGACTTACCTGACTTTTAAATTATCCATGAAGGCTTCCAATGTTATGTCGTTTAATAGGACGAAGTCCCCTATACCCACTTCGTTATGAAGAGCCATGTTGTACGAATTCCTCTCCGCACCCCACGCCCGCGACAACTAATTCAGTCACGTGGACTAACGAACAACCGGCACATTTTACCCGTCGTCCTCCGCGCGGTCGAGAGCTGTTTGAAAATTCGAATATACATATTTTTATTTTTATTTTTATTACATTTTTACACACTTTTTGTGTCTATTAATACTCGTATTATATTTTAAAATGTAAAATAATACGGTTCTTAGTTTAAAATGGTTTTAATGAATTATTTTTATCATTGTAGTACGTGCCACTTGATAAAAAAAAAAAGTCGTTTGGTTTTTTAAATCGCCATCTGTTATCGCTATTAGAAATTACAATAAAGTTTATAAAGTTTTTTTACAGCTATAACTTTTTTAATGTTTAATCTTTTAAAATTGTTTTATATTTAAATTTTTTCATAAATAAAATTTGTAAACACTAATTTCGGGAAAATATCTTTTATAATCATCTAGCGGTAATTATAAGAACTAAAATTAATTAATTATTTTTTTAAAATTAATTCTATTAAATAAATTTAAAATTTTTAAATCATATTTTTGGTTAAACATCCATTCAATATTTTAATTAATAATATAAATTATGCATTACATAAAAATATTAAAATTTTTTATTATTTATTTAATTAACAAATCAACAACGACGTTATGAAAATTTAAAATGTTTTAAATTATAAAACATATGTATTTAATTATAACACATTTTTAACACTTTAAACCATTTAAATATTACCTTTTAAAATAAAAAATGAAATTTTAAATCAAAAGTTTTGAATTATTTTAAACAATAATTAATTTAAAATAATTAATTAATTTAATAATTAATTTAAATTCAATTTAAATAATTTNAAAGATTTATAGGCTATATTTATATAGTAGTCCTTAAGATCTTTAACCTTTCTTTGTAACAAGATTTGTGGTAACGCGCCGAGTCGCTGAACGCATTTAAAAAAAACGCGATGCGACCTAAATGAAAAATTATAAAAATATAAAATATATTTGAATAATTTCCAGTTTTTAGATCGTTTCAAACATCAATAACACGAAAATTAAGAAATAATTCTTTCACACTGTTGCTAAGTGAAATACAGTGACCACACATACCGGATCCTGAGTGTCAATCTCTTTTAAACAGAAAGATATTGTCTTTTATATCACCTTAAAAGTAAACTATGAGTCCCCCAACTCATAGAATCTTCTGGATGGAACAAAGTTTCCATAGCTTCACCATAGATTTTTTGGTTCCTTTGTCTACTCTCGCCCCATCTTGTAGCTATGCATATACGTCTTTTATTATAAAAGTCCTTTTTTTTAAACATTTAAAATGCCGAAATTCAATTTTTAAATCCGCGACGCTTTCGGCTATCGATTTCTACTATAAGCCACGTGTTGCTTGGAGAGTAACCTTGTAGAAACAATTTTAGATTATGTTATATTTTATTTTTTAAAGAAAATAAGGTCATCGTAACCTATATAGTGTTATATATGTAGACTTTACTGTGGTACAAGATAAATATTTACAAAAATAAATATGAGGCTAACATTTTAAAATTCAAATTTAGTCAAACTCTTGTCGAGATGATTCCAAAATTTCTGGTATTGATTTCTTCTTAAAATTGTACTTTATGTAAAAGTGCTGTTTTCGGGTTTTTCAAACTGTAACGTTATAATACGTGTTGTATTTCAATGTAAGATTATATATGTAACACCTGGAGCACCTAATATAGTAATATTCTGCTTTATATCAAATGATATCGGAAAATTCCTTTGTCTGGATCTAAAAATATCTGAAATAGGAAAAAAAAATCGAAATGAGAGATTTAATGACTCTAAAATAATTTATATTCAGTTTTTAGTGATAGGATCGGAATTACAGGTCCATACTGCTGCTCAAATATGGTATTTGCTCAATATCACTTATCATTGGATTTCTGGATAGAAGTAATTCGAGATTTTAAGAAAATCAAATTTTATTATTATTTTTTTAAATTATTTACTATCCTGTTAAATTAAATCCATATGTTGGATATAAAGTGGAGCCCAGGATGTTAGGGGCTCGTTTTGTTTACTCAATTTAAAGCTTAATAAATTCTGTGCTTCTCGTCGAAAATTTTTGAAATTTTGCGGAGAGATTTGTGTATTAGGGGGATTGATGTTATTAAGTTTTGGTGGTTAAAGGTAGAGAGAACGGGGTGATAAAGAAAGTCACGTGTCGTAATCGGACTTAATGACAATTTTACTCTTTATTAGCATTTACAATATTTTATAAAACTAATCTTTAACCTCAAAATTAAGATTTTTGCCATTTTATAATAATTAATAATGTAAAAAGTTTTTTAAATAAAGTATCATAATAGATGGTGCTATAAGCAATTTTAAATGTTGTTACCTGGAAAGTTACACAACTCATTGTTGGAATTTTTTTACATGGTTTTAAAGGAACATCATAATTTTATTAAGCTTTTCTGAGATAATTTAATAAAATCCTGGCATTTTTAAGAGTTCGTGACTCTATAAGATGCCAAGTATGCATGGAAATGGAAGGAATCTACGTGGCAGGCCTTTTCTTTATATCGAGGTAAAAATTTGGCATGTGGTACATAGAAGCAAATAAATCAGTCACACTATTAACATACTTACAAAATCGGATTAGATTGATGAGATAAGGCAACTCAACATATGGGAGATATGCCAAAGAGAGGTCTTTCCACGGGGATGCTGGCCCCTATCTATGTTAGACACGTGAAGAAAATCCACGTGTCAATAGTGGATAACACCACTGAACACCGGTAGTTAGTCGCGGGACAAATCTGACCAAGGGTTTTGTCATGTGGAATTTTCTGGGTTTTCTTCGCGTTTAACACCTAAACAGTAGCCAGTTTCTGATGGAGGAAAGTACTTCGTTTAGTACCCCTTGGCAAATCGCCAAGTTATTGCGTTGTTTTATTCCATCAATCGAATCCAATTCTTCTTAGAAAAACAGAATTTTATTTTATTTGATTAGAGTGGAAGCGTTTGTTTGTTTAGTTAAGGCAACGCAACACTTGGGAGATCTGCCTAGGGGAAATGCCTTCCGGTAGGTCTTTTTAAGAGTAACTGGCCTCTATTCAAGCATTGCAGACATGGAGAAAACCTGGAAAATTCCACGTGGCCTGCACCCACGACCGAACTCCCAGTGTTCAGGAAACGGAACCGCTCGGCCACTGGTGTGCCCTGTTTGTTAATAATTTATTCTATTAGTTTATTATGTGAATGATTACAGAAATTAAAAAATATTAAAATCAATCTTTTAGACTGGTATTCTTTTTCTTTCCTTTTTTTCTGTTGATGTTCTAGTGTCTTCTTCAGCAATTTGCCTTTCAAATTTCAACATGTCTTCTTTTTTTTATATAAGAAACCTTCTAAAATTTGATTTAAAATATTTGAATTTTTAAAACGAATTTTAATACAGAATATTCAAAAATGATGCGTGCATAAAATTTAATGACGACTGTCGAACCGTCAATAACGGCAACCTCTAAACAGCGGCCATTTTTTCAAAAAACTTTTTAAACAAAAATGTATACAGAATAACTTCCAAACAATTCCCATTTTTTATGTTTCCGTCAATGGTCGCTGTTCACAGGTTTGACTGTATTCCATAATTTAGGCGCATTCAATAAATCTTTGGGATAAATGTTATCATTTTCAGCTTAGTCATCATTGATCACATCCTTGAATATGGAAATAGCCACCAAGTCTATTAGAACTTAGCACACCAGTCTGGCCATGGGTGCCTCACCAACGGCTGGTCGGGTAAAGTTTTCCGGAATTTTATCACATATCTAAACTAAATGGGGAAAAATTTATGATAGAAATTCCTTCCTAAAGACATCTTCTCCTAGGTAAAGAGTACCCATATATGATTCCATCAATGGTTCCCAGTGTGTTGCCTTATCCTGTTGAAACTGTTGCATGCACTTCTTCAATTGACTTCATTAATAATAATATTGTTGCAGATTTCTTTGTGAAAAATTAACTTTTTCATTATGGTATTTGAATAAAAGAATTTATGACGATAAACTTGCATTCAGTTGTTATATGTGCCACACAATTCGATTCAATTTTATTCAAAAAGAAAAATATATATATACTTTTTATTTATTTATTTATTTGGCTCCATTGAAATTTAAGGATTCGAAGAGTTTTCTACAGTCTTCTAATTCGTTAAAAATGCATCAGTAAATACGAATAATTACTATAATTATATCCTCTATAAACACTTTTTTCTCATATTTACAGTCGACCCCCTATAACACTGTTGATAATTTCGTTTTATATGAATTCCATGTTATACGAGTCACTTAGATTTTACAAATACGTGAGCAGTTCACAGCCCAATTAAAATAAAAAATGTTCTCTGTTTAGAGATGGCCGTTATTGGGAGGTGACCATTATTAGGCATTCGACTGTATCATTCTGTTAATTTTCTGGTTGCACTTTAAGAATTAGACATTGTTTCATATGAAGCTTGTTTCAAAATGGCGACCGTTTTGTATGCTTATTTATTTATTTTGTAACACTTAAAGGAATTTGAATAAAGTTTGTACGAAAAAAAAGTATTTTGTTAATATGTTTTTCTGTCATTTTATTTTCTGTAATAAAAAGCAGTTTGTAATTCTTAAAAATATATTTTTTTAATATAAAAAATGTTATTTATTTTCAAAATAAAAGAATAATTTATTCAAAAAAGAAATTTCTTCACGAATTATTTAGATTGATATAAATGACCGAAACTATTCTTTGGTCATCCATATCAATTTCAAACGAATTGTATTGAAGGAATAAGGCAACACATCACTTGGGCAATCTGCCAAGGGGATGCCTCCGAGAGAACTTTCTATAGAAAAGATATAAGAAAGTGGCCCCTTTTTTAGGTGGTAGACACTTGAAGAAAACACGGAAAACTTCCCGTGGTCAGCTGGTTTGAGGCGAGAACCCGTGACCCGCAACTACTAGGTTTATCCACGCAGCCACTAATGGGTTACTAATCCTTATTATATCTTTATAATTTGTGATAAAATCTAATGATTAAAAGTACATCAAGCTATATTATTTATGCTTTTTATATTGATACACGTCTATGTATACGTTTGCGTAATTTATAATTGTTCCTTCCCCTTAATTTCAAATTAAGTGTATTTAAAATCAAGATATATCTTGACTTTTATAAAATTTTAGAGAATTTTATTAAGAGTGCATTATTTTTCTAATTATTAAATGAAAAGCAATACAGTTCTTTTCGTTTAACTCCACACATCGTGACACCTTTGGTATGTACTGTACACATGTAATGTAATTTTCAGCAGTTGCGTGTGTACAGTACATAACACACATTTTGATCTGTAGAAAAAAATGGATACTCTCCAATCTTCAGAAAAACGGTGGAATTTTGCAAGAACAGTTTATAAATTACAGTACAGCATCGTTTATCCGAAAGAATTCCAGTTGGCAAATTTAAATTTTCGCTAGTGCTGTGGCGCTGCAATCTTTGGCTATGTCTTGGGCTACTCAAATATTTTACGTTTTTGATACTAAAGTAACTTCGGAAGTCTAATTTTTTATTGTTTTTATATTTTTCAATATATTTATTTTGTTTGTACATAATAAAGAAATAATTTTTAACGATACAATAGCCGCGATTATTATTTTAAAAAGTTTACGTTAGGCTTAACATCGACGAAAATTCAACGCAAAGCGACAAGCAACGGAGAAAAATTTCAGAATGGGATAGGTTAATATACAGTATTTTTTCGTACATAATCGGTTATCCGAAAAATAAGTTATCAGAACAACCCCAGTCCCTAATTGATTCGGATAAACGACGCTCTACTGTAATACGAGTAGAGATGCGTTAAAACTATGGATCCAAGAAAAGAAAAAAAAAATACAATTAGAGGCAAATATTTTTCTTAAAACATTTATTTACCTTCCACGTTTTACAAACCACAACAAGAAAAAAATTATTTATATATATATATAATATAATATAAATATTCCATACAAATACTGTATCGCACATTTACAATGCATGAACTTTCAATAAAACACCTTTTGTAGGTTAAACATAAATATCTAACTTATAAGACAAACTCTAAATAATCGTGAAGGAAAAGGATAAGTAAGAAAAAAAAGGAGAAAATATGCAAAAATTCATTTCAAATTCTAAAAAAAAATTCAAAAAAAGTAACATAGAATGCCAATTGGCTATACAGATAAATGTCCTGTCGAACAGAACAGAGGAAAGCGTCCAGGAACTGATAGAAAAGTGGAAGAAAATTACATATTTGATGACATTATAAAAGCTCTTTTCTTTTTTTCTATATATAAAATGTCTTTATGTTCCATGTAGAAAAATTGTGCAGAACAAAGTTGGAAGTAGCTGAGGTATCTTCAAAGCAATATACTAGTAGATCAGGTATCGAAGCTGTAATATAGTCTGGGATATTGCCCAAGAAGAACAGAAGAGGTCCAAAAACACACACACAAAAAAAAGAAAAAAATCCCACGTGATGTGTCAAAAGGGCGAGTTGAATGACAGCAGATAGACATCGGATTCTATTGTGTACGTTTTGAACCTATAAAAATCAATAACTGATACAGAAATTAACGTGACTGACACAGATAAACTGTATATAATGAATTAAAATCATATAATACATCGTCTTCAATTAATTTCAGAGATTGTAAACAATTGAAATAGACCAAAAATTTTNAATTCTGTTAAAAGTTTATCGTCGTTTATAATAGAAAATTTTTAATTATAAATATACACATATATATTTTTTTTTGTAACTATATCATTAAAGGATTATTAAATAAATTCATAACTTTTATACATCTATAGAGGAAGTGATAATGATTAAGTTCTATAACTTCTGTACCTGAAAATAAAAAAATAATTTCTATAAATAAATATTTTTCTTATAAATACTCAAGATTATTTTAATTTAAAATATAATTTAATTACAGATATTTTATGTTGATAGTTAAAGTAAGAAGATAACACTAATTAATTAATATTTCTTTAGAATTATTCAATATAATGATGTATTTATTAACACAATATTCCCAAATTCAAGATCTTAACTTGATTTATGTCATGATAATTTTGTTATTAATGAAAATAAATAATAAAATTATCATATATTAATGAATTTAATAAAATTTTTAAATGTTTTGGTCATAAGAGAGAATTTCTATTTAAAAGTAGAAATTTTAATGAATATAATAAAGCATTATAACATATAAATTTGCTATTTTTAGGGTTTAATTATGAAAAAATTGCATGCTACTTGATAATAATATCTAATACAGAAGTTAAAAATTTAAAAGAAAAACTTTTTAAAGTTTCAAATATAAATCCCAGTAAAATAATTATTTAATTTATTAAGAATTACAAAATAAAATTTATTGTAATTAAAGAACAAATAAGAATTAGTATAATTAAATTATTTTTATATCTTAAATATTATAATTAACTATAATAATATATTAATTTGATTGTAATAATGTTAATGTTTTAAATATAGTATTGTGTCCCTATAACAGGGGACAAAATATATTTAGCTCTTAATACTTGATAAAACTTATTTATAATTAAAATTAATAATTTTTTTATAGTTAATTAAATCATTCTTCTACTATTTAACTCTTGAAACAATTAAAAATAACTTATTTATTTTATAAAATAAATATTTCAAATACTAATTTATTCTGGAAATATAAAATGTTTATAAAATATAAAAATAAAATGATTAAATTTAAGAGAAATCTATTAAAATCTGAGTATTTTTGTGTATTTAAAGTATATTTATGATCTTTAAATCAATTTTTTTTGTATAAAAAAATCATTAAAATTATTTAATAATAATGTAAATCTCATTTTTATATAATTATGTTTCCAAGATAAGAATTTATGTGTAATTTTTTAAGTAATTTATTTAAAAATATATATTTAAACAAATTCTTTAGGTTGATAAATGGATTTATATAAAATTTTTATAAATGGATTTATATTAAATAGACATAATTTAACCTATTGTGTATATACTTTTTTTTTTAATAAACAGAATATAAATTTGTCAAAGAATATTCTTAGTTTAGTAAAATAAATATCAGCTACTATTTTGGGCATCAAGGCTACAGACATGTAAGATGTCTGAGTGATGACTGAAAGTAAAAGATCCAGATGCTAACTAAACTACTGTACTTAATCTACACAATTCGGAAACTATATTACAATACTATAATTAAAACTCCTTTTTTACACATATATTTTCTGGAGAACCCTCAGAAAAATTTGGCTTTGGTAATTTAGTTAACTTGCCACTGATTTTCAATTTATTTTTTTCTTTTTTTTTCTACACAGCAGTCTTTCACAAAAGTGTGAAAGAAGGGTGCATATTTGTCATCATTCCAGTATTGTAAGAATATGTATTATTTTTAAATATCTCTCTGCACAAAAGGTTAAGTGAGGAGTTTTTCAAATCTTAAAAGAATGTTAAATAGCAGTTTTATGCTGTGAAGATCTTCTAAAACTCATTAATTGGTAAGAAAAATCATTTTTATTATAATTACTTTTATTTATTGTAATAATATATTATGAGTCTGTCAATAACTTTATAAAATTAATATATATATANGGCCTCTCTTGTCCCGAGTAATCTTCAAGACTCACTCTTCTACATAATACAGAAGAACTTGTGGTTCTCTGAAGGGGAACTGGTGCTGGTACATGATGGAAACGATCCAAAACGGGCTCGTCTTTGATCTCACGACTAATAGTGGAAATCGGATTTACTCGTCCAGCTAACGAGGGTTTATCGAACCGTGTATCACTAGTATGTCTCCAGTTATTATTGAAGATTGTTTTTGATCCAATAATCTTCCTCTTAAAATGGAAGTTTCCATTTTGAGATGGAAGTTTATTCTAATTTAGTTATTTTTAGCTTAGGTATACCTATGCAATTCTAATAAGTTCTGGTAGTATTAATTCATAAGATTTTATACTACTAATTGATTACTAAATGGTAATTATTCATGTTGCTATTTTTAATTAATATTGAGTTTGGTATAGTACAGTAATTACAATAAATCACAGAACAGTGATTATTATGCTTATTAGCAATCACTTCTACATAGTAACAGAGTAGTTTTATACAGTAGTAAACGTTTTAGATCAGTAAATCATAAGATTATTACTATAAAAACCATTATTTCTTGGTTTATGAAGCAGAAAAACAGTGTTTTTAGTAACTTGGATTGATTGCAAATGTAGTGTTTCAAATATATTTAAAAAACAAATATTTACGATGTTAAAAATAACAATTGTAATAATAAATCTTAAAAATACTTACTCAAAACATCTGGATCCTGTGATTCTCTCTATCACAAACAAAAATATTCCCGCTGGATGTGACAGCAATTCCTTCGAGTCCCTTAAATTCTCCGTCGGAAGATCCCCAAGTGCCAAATGACTTAAGGAATGTACCGTCAGGATGGAAAATTTGTATCCTATTGTTTCCACTGTCTCCAACTATAATATAACCTTGATCATCAACTGCAATGCCTCTAGGAAATTTAAACTGTCCTTCTTCGGATCCTTCGGTACCAAACGTGGACAAACTGCGGCCATTAACATCGAACACTTGAACTCGATGGTTATTTGTATCACTGACGACAACCCTATTCGTATTTGTAACGGCTATATAATGAGGATGTTCGAGCTGTCCTGGTCTTGTACCAATAGTGCCAAATTTACCAACGAATGTACCATCTGATTGGAATACCTGAAACACACAATTGATATTACATCGTGACCGTTTTTATATATTTTCTAATAAATTATAAACATTTTTACCTGGACTCTGTGATTCTCCTTGTCGCAAATGTATATAAAACCGAGGCTATCTGTTGTGATTCCCCATGGATAGCTGAAACGTCCATCACTTCGACCTTCACAACCAAAGGATCGCAGGAATCGTCCAGAAGGATCGAATACTTGAATTCGATGATTGTATCGATCAGAAACGATAAATTGGCCTATTCTGTTGACTACTACTCCAGCTAAGCAATCGAATTCCCCTTCAGCACTACCATAACTTCCGAATTCTTGTAAGAATTTACCATTATGATCAAAAACCTGAGAAACAGAAAAGAAAATTAATAATAACCAAGACATTTGGATAATCGATGATAAAAACCTTACCTGAACTCGATGGTTACTGCTGTCCGCTACAACGATGATGTTATCTGGACCGATAGATACACCACGAGGCCATGTAAACTTTCCAGGATCTGTGCCACGAGTTCCGATTTTCATCACCATTCTTTTCTTTTGTACGTAAGTGCTTCTTGGATTAGAGAAGAGATAAGAGTCTTTGACTCTTCCAATGCTTTCTTTCCTGCGGGAATTTATTGGAACATATTCATCTTCTGAGCTATTTTCACTAGCACTTCGAGAATATATTGCATGAGAACTTTTGCTGCGTGAAACATTCCTCGACGTGCTATTACTCCCAGTCCCATATTTGTTTCTGAGATATTTTGACCACGAAAGACGATCATCTTCTTCTGGACTAGGCTCTCTAGATTTAATAGCATGGTGGCTTCTGCTCCTAGATATCGAATTTTCGGACGTTCTACTCGATCTTCCATAAGTAGGCGTTGATGGTACATCATCCTCCGCGCTCTCTTCACCAAAACCGATGTCATGGCTACTTTTACTTTTTGCAATTCTATTTCTGCGTAGATTTGCTGCTGCTGTACTATATCTTCTGTAACGTCCTGTATCTTCTGGGGGACTGTCTTCTTTACCAAGTAATGCAGAACTGCGACTACGTGCCAAAAATCTGCTATAGGGCCTGGTCTCTTCTTCATCTTCGTCATATGTGCTTTTACGTCTACCTAAGGGATTACTTAAATATCGTGGCACGTAATCATCTTTCTTATCTTTTTCCCACCATTTGCTTCTGTAAGAATTTCTGGAATCGATATCATTGCTATAAGAACTTCTAGAATCAATATCATTGCCGTAAGAATTTCTGGAATCGACATCGTTGCTTCTACTGTAACTGGAATAACTATTTCGAGTTGATACGTGATTAGTGTCGACATTATTGTAATCTCTGCTTTCTCTTTTCGATTCTGTGCTGCGTGCTGGCGGTGGAGGCGTAGGACTTCGTTCCTCTTGTTCCTCCTCTTCCGATTCCGAAGAGGTGGAAGAAGAATTTTCTTGAGTTTCCGTTGTTTTTTTCTCTTCCACTTTCTCACTTTCGCTCGATTCACTACTGCTCTCTTCACTTTCGGATTCTGATTCGCTTTCAGATTCTTCACTTTCATCTTCATCTTCGTCTTCCTCTTCTACTTTTGGTTCTTCTTTGGGTTCTGGTTGGGGCTCAGGTCGTCTGGATGCTGAAAGGCGTCCATAAAATGAAGATTGAATTGCTCGGGGGGATTCGGTTAATTTTCTTTCCTCTTCCCTCTGTTCCTGAACGCGGGGTAACGTGGGACGGCTCGACTCATCTTGGGCATCTAGCGAAACGGTCTTCCCCAGCGACGACTTAGACCTAAAGAGAGAAAACTCTTGAAAACTTAAATCTAGCATATTTATATTTACTTTTCAAAAAACAAAATTTATAAATGCATGCATTTGTTAAAAAATTGTCAAAAATTTCCTTGTCAATGAAAACAAGAATCGTATGTATTTTAATGTCATCTGATGACAACACTAGGAACACACTTGTAGAAAATTAAACGTTTCCAAGCCAAAGTAAACAGTAACATTACTTGATTCTGGCGCTGCGACGACGAGTGGCCGGCGTACAAACGGGGACGACAGAGGGGAGGTAGGACTCCTGGCTCCACCAAGAAGAAAATCTTCATGGACATCAGTTGATAAATTCAGCGTACTTCCAGACAGTGGTCGACTGAAATTTGCTGAACGAAAACGATTATAGTTCGGCCTCTCTTGTCCCGAGTAATCTTCAAGACTCACTCTTCTACATAATACAGAAGAACTTGTGGTTCTCTGAAGGGGAACTGGTGCTGGTACATGATGGAAACGATCCAAAACGGGCTCGTCTTTGATCTCACGACTAATAGTGGAAATCGGATTTACTCGTCCAGCTAACGAGGGTTTATCGAACCGTGTATCACTAGTATGTCTCCAGTTAT